CTGGTAGACTCCACCTGTTCCTCATCTATTTTCAGTTTCCCCCATTGAGATTATACTGCTGACACAAAGAACCTTCTTCCAAATTTGAACAAGAAATTCAAATACACCCTACACTGACCTGAAAAGAAATCTCTTATCAATACCATTTTCACAGCATTTTTCAGTTGATTTGAAAATTTCCTAAAAACATATATTTAAAAAAGGATGGAAAAGGATACATTTCCAATAGTTTTTTCAAAGATTTTGATTATTTTAGACTCATTTTACGGTTTGAGGACCTCTTTCAAGTCTGATGACTGGAGAACTTCAGAGACTCATTGCAGGATTGGTCTGTTGAAACCCCAGCTAGGCTTAGGGTTAGCATTCCCACACTACGTAGACTGTTTTTACACTCAGTTCTGAATTCTGGGGGCCAAGTGAACTTTAGGGCAGGTGATTATTTGCTCATATCTTCAATGTTTTTTTTCCCCTGAGTATTTGTCTGCATTAAATGTGGATGTAAAAATCCCAGCTACTGGCTATCAGGGAACACAGGTTTAAACGGGGAGGAGCCCAGCTGCCAGGTATAGTGACTGATAGGACTGACAGGTGGCACCTGACAGACAGGCAGGGATTAAACCTGGTTTCCTGTCGCAATAGTTTTTTGTTCAGTTATAAATTGTTTATTAAAATATTTAATTCAAATTCATTTTAATGTTTTTGATATTTGGAAATATCAACATCCTGGAAAAAGTGGTCAATAAATAGTCACTAGGTTGGAAAACTGCATCCGTTGTTGTTGGCTTGGCAAGCTTTTTTTCAAGTATTTTAAGTTAACACAAGCGGCAAATATTATTGACAGCTTCTCGTATCTTTTCATCTGACCTTCTGTCATAGGTCTCTGCCTGGTGGATAAAAGAGAACTTTTGAATATTCAACATATTCTGTTTTATGTCAGTAATGCACTCTTTAACCTCTGAAACCTCAGTCTTTCCAGAATTACAAATCCAAAACTGAAATGCTTCTATGCAGCTATTGACATTTCAGATCAGGATTATCTTGGTATTCCACAGCTGTGACATTTAATTAGCCTATATCTGCTTTATTTGATAGTATTACTCTAGGGCAGATTAAAATTTGAACATTACAAAGGACAGTGTTACAGTTTACCACTGTTGTTCACTGTTTATATCGACAAATACTTATTTTAAAGTCACACATGAAGAAACAATGCATGCATTGCCTGTATTGTAAAAGAGACAACTCATTTTTTCATTGCTTTGAAAGAAGGGGAAAGGTTAGTGGTTAACAGTTGTGGTTACGTATTGTGGCCCAGTGCCTGACAATGACAATAGGCTTTCCTCTAGAGTCAGCCTAAATGGCTTTACTCCATGACCATTTATTGTGCATGTTTATATTTTGACCAGGTGTATTTAAGTGATGTTTTCATTGTTTTAGTATGTGGAATGGTGATGTGGTTTGATATAATAGGGGGTATGTTTGTTCACTAGGTGGACAAGAGGGGAAGGGTTGAAAGGCTAGGAGTTTTGTCTCTAGTGCACTGAGATAGACCTGTCCACCTTACTAAAGTCTGGGTAAGCAAGGCTTGCTGTCCCAGCATGTTAAATTGGTTGCTTATTGTATTTGTCAATAATGAGCGAGGTCTTGTTTTGTATTATTTTGTTCTATTTGTAAAGAACAGCCAGGAAAACTCTTAAAATATAAATTCTATTGGTGAGGACTGGTTTATGTTCAAAGTTCTTCAGGATCTATGATGCCTCGCAGGCAGTGATCCACCATATATGCTAGCAGTTCTGTGTAGTGCTTCAAAGGTAATTCTATTCTGAACAAGGAACTCCAGAGAAATGCAAAAATTGCTGCAGCAGATGATGGAGGTTGAGCTAAAGGATAATGAGGAGTCATTAAAAATGTCAGGGCATTTCTCGAAAACAGTAGGGGTGTCCTGGCCAAATTTCCCATTGGCCCTTACCAATCATGGCCTCCTAATAATCCCCATCTATGAATTGGCTTCATTACTCTGCTCTCCTCCCCACTAATAGCTGATGTGTGGTGAGCGTTCTGGTGCACTCTGCCTGCCGTCACATCATTCTGGTGGATGCTGCACACTGGTGGTGGTGGAGGAGAGTCCCCATTACCTGTAAAGCACTTTGAGTGATGTGTCCAGAAAAGCACTATATAAGTGTAAGCAATTATTATGAATTATTATTATTATCATCAAGGAGAGAGTGGGCAGGATTAATTCATTAATTAAATCTTATTTATTTAAATGAAATTAAGATTTCAGATAAATGTAACATTAATTATGTTTTGTGCAAAAGTCCTTAAGACTGCAATTTATCCATTGTACAATTTTACAAAGTTCTTAGTATTTCAGCAAAGAATCATTCTGCAGTTAACCTAAGATAGAACAATTCAGTTACAGTAGATGCTTTTTTATGGGTACTTTGATCCATTTTTGTAGCTTTGCCTGGGAAAAAATAATAAAGATTAAGTGTCACGGTTGTCATCTTTAGTATGGTACAATATATTCTGTAATTCAGGTACACTTGTGTTTGCATAGTGTTCCCATGCATTTCTTCCTAGGACTCTTAAAATAAAACACATAATACCACAGTAAAAACGGGAACCATTGATTCACCAATAAGTCCAGCTCAAGAAGAAGGTAAATAAAATTTGATTCAGCAGATTAGTGTGTTGCCATTTCTAATACAGATCAAGATTTATTCCAGAGGCACTCTGTGTTAACAGCCAAAGGCCTTTGTTTTTATACATTATAGCCTATGAGGTGCTGATAGCCACTTGGCTCTGTTAGTCTGTTGTTAACTGTGTAGTGTATGTTTGGTTGTTCAAATTAAAGAGGCCCTGAACAATAAAGCAAAGAATAAGTCCTGGATCGTGGAACATCGCCACCTGTGTTGAAAGATTTATGTGCAAAGATTTCCAAAGCTATGCTGCAACCATGTGAATATGAGAACTGTAATGTGCTGCTGCATATGGTACCTCTGCTTTACTTCACTTCACAAAATCCTGTCATAGCTCTATTTGCTTCCTGCAGATGTGGATGAATTACTTTGTATCCCGAAGAGGCAGCTTTCCATGCTACAAAAAGGCATTGTCCTGTGTCCATGGAGCCATTAGAAATCTTGCAGATTTGTTTCTACTTTTTTTGCTTTGTTAAGGACCACAAGTCAAAGCACAAAGCACCTGTGATTTCTAAAATGTGAAAAAATAAAATATTTTACTAGATTGAGTATTCGGAAAGTCTTGACTAGCCTCCATTTGAAAAAATTGAAAAAAGCTTTTACGTATAAAATTAAAGTAACTCCTAAAAGCAATCCAGTGATCTAAAATTTTTAATTTTTCTTTTCAATTTGTGGAAAGCGTCCTTTGGGGCCTATTGATTATTTTTAATTGCTTGTGTTTGTTTCACTGTACCATTAAAAACAATTTCTTTTTAAAAAGCTGGGCATTAACAAACAGGTTATGTTGGGTTTTGTTTACCGTTTCTTTTCTATATATTTTTGTTGTTCGTTTTGAAACTTCTTTGTTTCGCACATTCTTTGAAGTTTCTTTGTGGTCTTAGTTGCATTATTTGTAACTGGAAATATATTTGACAGTTGTCATAATTTGAAAGGTTTAACTTTGAGAGAAATGACAAATCATTAAGATAGGATGCACTCAGTAATGGAACAAGGACACAGGGTCAGCTGGAAACTACAAGCAAATTAATTAATTTAGGTTGGAGAATAGAAAATGCTTTTTTACACAGTGAAATGCGGGTTTTGAAAACAGGCTTCCCAACCAGGTGGATGATGCCCTATGTTTGCACACTTTTAAGAAAGTGCTGGACCAAATTTTGATTTCATTTAACTACTAAGCAACAAAATGAGGAAGATGGGCTGAATGCCTCTTCTCATTTGCATCCTTTCTATTTGTGTCTCTGATACTCATTATTAATGTTTCTATTTTGTGCTGGAAAGAATGCTAAGTACATTCTCCTACCATACGTGCAATCTATTTAAATGTGTTATGACTGAAGAAATAGATAAGGACATTAGAAAGGTCCAAACAAGAGGAGGACCGTCACCCCAGCTAGGTCATTAAGATGCGGGGAGCCAAGAGAACTGAGAAATCCACCTAGTCATTTTCCTCAAAGAAATCAGGATATCAATGTCAATGTTTGTATAGAAAAAGTAGCTGTTTTTAATTTTGGAATGAACTATCCCTTTTTCGGTTTCCCTTTGTGTTTTCTGGTTCATGTTTCACTATTGATTATGAAGAAGCTTATTGGGTTAACTTGAGGATCACTTGAGGATGCTTAGTATTTGAACCAGGTCTCATCATAAGTTCTTTGACCTCAAACTAGTAGCATTGTTGAGTGATAACTGTCCTGATTACCCATGGTGATTACAGCTTAAAAGAAATGGCACTGCAAGAGAACCTGGCGTGTCTGAATATAATTTCTGTTCATCTCTCTTGTGGCACCCAAGAGCTTGGCTGAGCTTTGAGTGGTGGAGTCTTCGGTGCTGCTACTGATGTGATTTCTACAGGAGGTGGATGACTAAAATGTGATACAATTTTCCTATTTGTTCTGTTTTTAAAAAATTAAAACTAAGATTAATAAATTTTGAAGCGGATAAAAAAGATTGTTCTGTCTGAATGTAGCTTTTCAATTCCTTATAGTTTGTTATCCTGATTTATCTTTTAAAAGATATAGGACCATTAGCATAAATGGCTAATAGATATTCCCAGCCAATTAGTACCCATTGAGTTTGAGCTCATTCTTCAATGCAAGAGGTACTGAGTGACTGTGTAGTGAAATACAAGGACCAGAAAAATAAGGTTTATAATCTTCAAGGTTTTTAAAATTAATTATAATACAATTGATCATTGTCTGAAACAAAATAGAATTAAAATACAAGTGACCACACATCCTGTACTGCATCAGCAGTGTGCACGGTACTGACAGTTCACCTGCATCTTCTGTGCCTGTGTCACAGGGCCGGCGAGGCAGACCAGGTGTGTCCGGAACCCCAGGCCCTCCAGTAAGTCATTTATTTCCCTTTAACATTTCACTGTCTCTTATCACAGTGTATTTACAATGTAGTATTTATACAGCAGACTTAGTGCAGAATGTTAAGTTTTATATTTTGGAATGTGCTAAACTTGTTGAAACGTTCTATATAATAAATTATGCATGCAATGTTTAACGTGTTCAATCCTGTAGTTACATGTGTTGGATTACATTGTAATTATGTTCTTAGAGGTTTTCCTGATGCAATAGTGTGCATGCATACAGTGTTAAAAGCATTTGCATTAAATTTCTACTAAACAAAATAATATTGTACACATTATTAAGCAATTACTGTGTAAATATGTGGTAGCTGGAGAGAATTTAAAATGTCTGTTTCTCCAGGTTTAATTCGCACAGCACTGTCTCTATACTACATCGGGCTGATTTGAGATTGGAGTTTAACTTTACTTTTCTATTTTCTAGAGCTTGTAAGTCATAGATTTGTGAGTGGTGATGTAATATTGTACAGATTTCCTACCATTGTAACAGAGTGCCTGCTTATTTCCAAGGCAATGTTTTCCAATACAACTTTTTGCAGGACAGTGGCCTAGGACCTTTTTGTGGCATGTAACCAGGTTTCGTTTCAACAGTCTCCATCTGTTGTCCAGCGCATGTGTACACCAGGACCTTGATACCTGACTTTACTCTGACTGATATAAGCATATCCCAGAGTCTGCCTGAGTGTATGGGTTGTACTCTGCTACAAGAGCAGTGTTATTGTTTGCTCCCCCTCAGGGAAACTCTGTTGCCATGGAGACTAGAATCCAGACAACACATCTCATCCAGCCCCACCTGATCATTAACCCAATCTAAGGTCTGAGACCTTCGATTACCACCAGTAATATATTTCAAATAATTTTTTTCCATTCTAAAATGTACAAAAGGCAAAGGAAAAATAGATTTTTATGTTTGAGGGGATATGCAATTAAGTATCTTACTTGTCAACAAGTGCAAAATACAACATATCCATTTCTTTTTGTTTGTAATACTATGTACAGTATAGCAGCAGGCTTGTAAATACTAATTAAATTATTTATTTACTTTTCTTAATGTAATTTCACATCTCAAATATACTCTCTCTGAGGGGAGAGCATCCTTCTTTTAAAAGAGAAGGCAAAATCAATTGTATGGGTTCTGCTTTGAATCATTGCTCTTCAATTACAAGATATCAACAAGGGCACATTTTGTTGGAACTAAAAGTCTATATTAGACAGGAATTGGTCCATGCAGTCTAAGAACAAGTTGCTGTTGATAAGGTCTGCTTGATGGTCTGAGACATGCTTTGCTGTGTTCAGTTTAATTTATTCATTTAAAACAGAAAGTGCACTCATCCAAGCTTAATTCAGCTGTTCAGAAGTATGGAAAATCTGCACACACTGGGAATACAGTCTATTATCACTAATGTGTATCAAAGGTTTATTACCAACTTTATTACAGTTGGAATTTTGATGGCTTATTTAAATCAAAAGATATTGCGGGGAGCACAGCCCCAGTGGGGGAGCACAGTCTACAGACTCCTCTGGGGAACGGACTGCTGCTCGGTCACCTGACCAGTCGGGGGAAGCCATCTGTTCAGGTGACTCTTTAAGAGTCAGCCTGGGGAAGAGGATGCCTGCTATTGAAGGGGACAGAAGACCGAACCCCGGTGTCCACCACTCACTACAGGAGAATGACTGACCACGGACCGAGCAGCTGTGCGTTTGGAAGTTTTGAGAAGAGTCTTAGACGCAGTACTGTTTGGGAAATTTGAGAACAGTCTGAGATGGTTTCAGGAAAAACTTTGTTGTTTGTTTTGTGGCTGGTAGTCAGTGTAACTCCTCGGCCTTTAGTTGGTTAGACAGGGATTTCATCAAGATGTTTAGGCAAAAGCTTGAAGAAGAGATTAGGTTTTTCTTGCATTATTGGTTCTACTTGGGTATGTTTTAAACCTTACAGCTGTGTTTTGTTGTGATTGTTTTCCTCAACCTATTTTTTAAGATCCTGGTCTGACATGCCCATGGGTATGTCACTACTATATATATTCATATTCTGTATCTAAACATCCTTAAATCCATTTTAAAAAAATCTTTAGATGTATCGTAAACAATTTGTAAATTTGTTCTAGTTCTCACCTTAAATCTACCACAAATTGTTAGACACACTTAATCAAAAATGATCAACATGGCATTTTCTTTCATGTTGTAAGAGAAACAAGCAGTTTATAAACTTTTAAGTGATGTCTTCCTAGGAGTATTCATATGGTACATTTACTTATTACGGCTAGCAGAAACAGTCTCAATTAAGGACTGCAACAGAATATAATCAAGGTCAGTTACCTGGGATACATTAAAAATTCAATTGCTGCCACGCAGTACAGTTCATTTTCCAATTTTCTTACATCTCATAAGCTAGAAAGTCTAGAAACAAAAAGGTGGAAATTAATCAGCATAACTTTATAATAATGTTAGGATGATATACATGTACTGTATAACTGTATGTCACAGTTTAACACTATACTACCCCCATAAAGAATGTAATAAGTTGTTATTTCCAACTGAGTGAATTTGCAAAACCAGTACAATTTAGTGGTATTGTCAACTTTTATTTTATCTGATAAAACATTGCAAAAGCCTGAAACAAGTGGAACAGAAAAGAATGATAACCCTTTGACACATGCAAATAGGGTTGAATATATTTGTGGCTCAGAAAATTAAGATTGCATTGTTGATTTAACTTCTTACTACCAAAACTGCAGTGCAGTTGTTGTAGATTAAGGAGGTAACACCTCAAAACTTTGAAGCCACCTTCAGGAACATCATGGTATGATTAATATATTTTCAAAGGAACCTGAGGGTAACTTCAAAATAGCACCTTATTGACCAGAATCTGTTTTTAATTCTTATTATAATTTGTGCTGATATGTATTGTATGGTCAATAGCACAACAGAAGAGTGGAAAAACAGCAAAGAACACTTCCTTAAAGTTGGCATATCATACCGATGGCAATATTAAAAACATTGCGACAATGCGAATTAAACTTAATTTAAATGAACAGAATTGTAGTTTTTCATATGAATTTATTTACACCTGAATTTATTTCAACGGTATGATATATACATTTAGAGTGAAATGTTAGACAAGATAAATTACAAGTCAATACACAAGATGGAAAAACAATCATAAAAGTACAGTTTGATATTTTTTCCCTGACAAAAATAAATGGATTGTTTTGCATATTAGAAAAAGGTCAGAATTTGTTAGTGAAATTATCATCGGGTACAAAGTGTCCTGTTGATTATGGTTTGGGATTTTACTTGCAGTTTCTGTGAGTTTAAACTTTTTTAAAGAATGGGCATATATCATTTTTGATTAGGACATTATCACTTCAAATGCTATATAATGGTAAAAAAACTATACCATGCCATCCCTTCTTTGTAATATCCATTTCAATGACTTCCATGACCAATATACACAATAGTAGGGTACAATAAATCTTTTGGCCATTCCACGAAGTTTCCCTTGACCAAAAAAAACTTTAAATCCTGCTTCTTTTCTTACCTTTTTCCAGTTGTGTGTTTGTCTAAATTAATAATTCCTTTTCATAGATGCACAAAATAATCATACAGAATATGATGTATTTTTCAGACATTGACAGGAGTGACTGAGCCCCTGCTGTACAGTTCCTTGAGACTCAGAACCCAGAGCTTTTCTTTCTGTTTTTGATTTCAAGTCTGCCTGAAAAACTGTCATCAAATATTAAGTCACACTAAACAGAATTTGTCTTTCTGACATCTTATTCCCCTGAAGCAGGAGAAACCATTGCTTCTGTACAGTCTTTTTGTGTTCTATCACCAGAAGCCACTTCCCTGGGATGCCTTGTAGTTTATGAATAATCCTGTTTCACGTTGTTCATTTAAATAAGCTATCACACTGGTTGAATAAGCCTAGATTTGTGCTCTGTTTCCTCACCATAATTTATTTTCAGGAACACATATTTCCTATATGTTCAGAATTCATAATCATAGTGCATTTTCAAAAGCCTCCCTTCGCATATTGCCAAAACACACCATGGGGGGGGTTACAAAAATGGTGAATAAGCAGGTAATAACCAAGTGGCCTAGTCAATAACTAAAATAAATAATCATAACCCCCCCAAGCTGTAAGGATTTCTCCAAGGATATACCTGAGCAGTTGGTATAGTTGGAGGCACATTAATTCTTTGTTTTCTGGTAGAGCGTTAAGGAAAAGAGAAGAGTAATGATTCAGGCACACATGGTTAAACAAATATTTATTAGCAATGACAGTGTCACACAGTACCCTACACACAACATAAACATAGAACACTCAGGTTACTGTATTTATATACTTATATACTGTACGTTTATAGACAAGGCATTTCAGAGACTTACTGTACTGTATGTCTAGACCATCAAGGAAAACACTAGACTGCTTCCAAGTATTTGACCCTTAAATAATGCCTACAGAGGGCAAACGAAGAGATACTGTATGATGCCTTCTAAACTATATAATATACAACCTATGATAAAATCTCTCTCTAACCTGGATGCCACAAAATAAATGGGAGCCTACTGTATATCCTTATTCTAAAATGCACCCACTAAGCAGGAGAGGCTGTTTTAAACTGAAGGATTCTTGATTCATGAACTCTGGGTTCCCTAAAAGCTACAGAACAGCAAACTCTCTGAGAAAGACTCAAATACTTAGCTCTTACCAGGTTTTTTCAGATTATTTCAAACAAGGACCTCTTGCCTGGCAAAGGTCTGTCCTTCTGTCCCCCTTGTCTTGTGTTCTCACTCCCTTGTTCTGTCCTCTCTTTTATCCTACACTTTTGACACTCTTAATAATTTATGCAGAACTTAATTAACTACGGTAAACCAGAAGATTCTTCTGATCAGTGTGTCTCACACCAAACACAACTAAGTAAGCATCCATTGGTTTGAAGCTCTAGAGGAGGTGGCGATATTGACTCTAGTTAGGTGTTACGCATGGTGTTTAGATTCTTAGAGAGACCCCGATTATCTACCTCTGCCTGTAACAATAGATTATCCATGGGGTTTTTTTCATTGTGAACCAAATAATAACTGAAATGTACTAAAATTAACCTGGAATAACATGCACTGTTAATGCTGAAGATTTGTAGTTTTTCAGATGTAGACTTAACTACTTCTGGAGAAAAAATAAAATTTTCAAAATCAGACATTTTTCATATGTGAGTTTAACAGTACAGGAGTAGATATCCTTTCTATTTAAAATAATTGTTGGCTTTCTTCTTGCCCTTAGGGACCTCCAGGGCTGTCTTTAATGGAAGGAGCTGGGAAAAAGGTAAGCTGCTTAATCAGAACCTAATTTAAAAAAGTGGAACTATTAATTTAGCCTTTGTTCACACAAATAGGTGTGAGACATTTAATATTTTAAGGTGCTCCATGGTGTGTACAGTTACAATCTTGTTTTTAAGATCATTTTTAAGCAGCTTAACTACATACCCACACAAAATCCTCTGAACTTGTTTTTGCCTAAAATCCCCTATTCAAACCCTTAGGTACTGACATTTTGTCAGCTGCGGAATTCTAAAATGTCTACTGGCTTCTAGGTTCTGTATAATACAGAAGCAACAGTGAGCTTCATCCACTTCTGATCTTCATTCTCTCTGAGGGATTTTGACTCACCTCCTGTTCTAAATTGGGTGCCTTCAGATGCATCATGCTCTACATGCTTTTAACCAAGTGTGTGCAATATGCTCGAAGCTAGCTGAGTCATATACAGTAGCAGCGTGATTGTTTCTTTAACTCAGGTTTGGCTATTTTAGATGAGCAGACAATGTGTTCACTTTAGGATAATCAGATAGTACCAGTTTTCATTCCTGTTTATTTTCTTTTAATGCAAAGCTTAGCCAGTATTATTTGTGGTACACCCCTTAAAAACAAAGAAAATGCAAGGGTTAAAGGAAACATTATGATGGCTTTTTCATCTAATTTTTAAATCCATGGTTTGGATTAAAAAAGAGTAAAAAGTCTGACAATAATGTTGTATTACATCTTAAAATTAGAAATTAGAATTAGTTGGAAAATTACCTGCAAGTATCAAAGCAACCAATACAAACCAGTATGCGATTGAGTCAAAGTCTTACCGCTGAGCTGACAGTAGTGCACTGTGGTGATGGCTTGTGGAATTCAAATATGACAGAAAGGCAAAGAAGGCCAAACTTCTAACACAGGAGCTTATGGAAAAGACAAATGAAGAGAGGAAACGCATATGGCATTATCAGTTCTGAGATCACAACTGGCCGTTTAAACTTGCCCACTATGTTTGTAACAAGTTTTGCTCATATATTCCATTCATTAAAATGAGTGAATCTGGCATTGATATCACTAACTCTTCTTGTTCTCTCCAGGAACATGGGAAATCATGGCTATCTTCACAAGTACTTAGCAGTACATTATTACATTGCAGTTGTCCTCACTAACACCACTGTTGTTTCTTTGTCTCCTAAACAATTGAAAGGTGTATTTGAGCTACAGTTTCAAATATCTGTTGCTTAGTGAAAAAAAAAGAACAGTTCCAAATAATACTAAAAATCGTTACAAATATTTCGGCTGTTCAACCCATCTAAACCTCTCTTGTTTGGTTTCGAATAGGTACTTGATCTAAAAATCACATCTAGCCTCTTCATGAAACAAGCCAGAGTAACAGGTTCAACAGCACATCCGCGCAGCTTGTTCCAAACTCCCATGACCATTGTGGGAAGAATTGAAAAAATATCTCAATTATCAACATCATTTTTTTTCCCCAATTTCTTTAAAAGTTTAAACCGAAGACTACAGTGTGAAATACTGAGGCACTGCAAGCAGCAGAAATGTTCAATCTTACATTAGCCCTGAAAATGCACTTGTCCTAGAATGTAGTTCCCACAGATGTTTAGCTGTTTATTTTGTTCAGCTCCACAAAAAAAGATTTTCAAGTTTTTTTACCTGAAGCTTTTTTCTTGTGTAATTATCAAAAATTGAGAAATAATTAATGTGTAAGTTTAATCCACCCATCCATCCATTTTCTGACGGATTCTTCCAATTCAGGGTCACAGGGATAAAGCAGGGTGCTGTATGTCCTGGATAGAACACCAGTCATCTGCAGGGCAGGAAGACAGACTCTAATACAGACATACAGTACACACACTCACACTCTACCAGTATACTGTATTTTGGACTATTGGAAAAAAGTAGAGCACCCAGAGAAAAGCCATGTGAACACAGAGAGAACATACAAACTCCACACAGATAGCATCCCAGATCCAGAAGTGATCCCGGCACTGCAGGGCAGCAATGTTAACCGCTATGTCATTATGCCACCATGCCACCATGACTTCAGGGCTCTCAGAAAGTTCATTGGCGGCATGAGGACATGATATGAAAGTGTTGTTAAATAGAATTCTGGGTTCTGGTGACTGTTGCTTAAACAGCAAGCATAGAAAGTAGCAGCACTCCTTTTCCTTGCCCTGTATATCATTTCAGAAATTCATAACCAGCAGATGGTAATTATATTCAGTGCTTCAAAAAGGTCTGCAATCATTTTCACTGAACCCTGGGGTGCACTAACTCATGCAGCACAAAAGATAAAATGCAGCAACTTTCTCCTTGTGTTGTGTATTGCAAGAGTGTTTAATGGCAATCCATTGGTGACTGTGCATACACAAGTGAAGAAAGACTAAGACTGATCTCTCAGTGACAGCAGTGTGCTGAAAAGGGTGTGATGTATTGTTTACATTATTGAAACCCCTGCAGGCATGTGGTTCTGACCAAGGGTTTCGTGCCTTTACCATTTGCAACCTGCCCTTGAAGCAGCACACTTTGAAGTCAACAAATATTCAAGATGTTAAGAATCCTGACATTAAAATGGAGAAAACACATTAATAATAAAACAAAGACATATCATTCTAATTTCTAAGTTTATAGTTTAAAAACATACAGTACTTCATAAGAAAATTGATACAATATTCTCCTGATCCAATGCAGAAATAGCAAACCTCTGAACTACAGTGAGATGTAGTGCAGAAAAGAAAAAACAATATGAGTGGAAAAAAATGTGAAATGTACATACTGTAGAATGGTTGCAGTCCATTTTATCAGCTGTGTTGTTATATTCAAGCGGGGTCAGTTTATTTGGTGTTGTTTTGAATTCACTCCAGTCATTGTTTTAAGTTATTTTCCAGTGCAAATAATTCTAAGATGAGTTTACAAATTGGAAAGATGTACCATTAAAATTGCAACTGACTCAGATAAAGATACATACAGTATACTAGACTTTATACCAGTAGTCAGTGGTGCTACACCATCAATAAGAATTAAAGATCATTATTAAAGCTGACAATGAAACATTAATTTCTGTTTTGGGGTTATGCTCTGATTCGTCAATATATAAAGCAAAATTAACGTGCTAAGTTTATTTTTATTTAATTAATAATTATTAAGCGAATAAAACTTTTGTGACATTTCAATGGAAAAGTAATATTGAAAGGATAATGTTCCCATCTGAAGTAATGTTCCAGTTAATGATATAAGATCAAAATAATTAATATATATGTATGCATCTTAAATATAGAACAGAATTAATAAATCCTGTCACTTACCTTGATATTGTAAAGGTATGTTCATATGTGTAATGGCTTGCGCTTTTTAGGCAGAAGTAGATTTACAAGAAGCTATTAATTTAGGAGGAAGGAATTTCATAACAGTCTTGTCTTCCTAGGCACTGTCTTGAAACAAGGCATATCCTAACATCCTCCAAATTGGAGAAATAGTAGAAAAAATGTTTCAGTGCATTCAAATTCATAGAAACCCTGTGCTTTTAGATTGGAGGGCTTTACCAGTGACACTTCCAAAGGATGGCCTTTCATAAGGGCCCAAGTCAAATAAGGATACGTTCCTGCAAGTTTCATTCTATTTTATCTATCTCTGTAACTTTTTAGGGGGATTGGTATTTAGTTCATAAATAAAATTTGTTGATTAACTGAATACAAATTTATTCACTATAATTCATTATTAAATGCTTTTAACACAGTGCTAGAAGCATAAGGAATAAAATGCAATCTTTTGGGGTTACTACACTAAAAGGGAATATGACATTATAGGAGTAACTTAAAAATAATTAGCTGGGAAAGCTCTCTAGTACAGAGAGCACACAAATGCCATTTTTCAGCTTGCGGTTATTCGTTACAGTATAATGCCGCTGCTCAGCATTATATTGGACACATTTTGAGATTTTTTATTAATTAGTAATTACAGCAGCCACAACAATGTTATTTTTTCAGTGTTAAAACCCATTACAACAAATAGTTAACCATGACCATTGTTGCCATCAAATGTTTCGTGTTACCAACTGTGCCACATAACAAAATACAATTACACTGTAGGTGTCATCATTTCTTTACTGATTGAAAGGTCTTGTCTGCAACACCACATAGTTTATGTGTTTGTTTTTAAACAAACAGTGGACACTAAAAGTATAGATGGCTTACACAGGGCTAGCTGATTTAAATGTACCATATGACCCAATTGACTGTTTGCAAATAATAGAGCAAACCTAACTTCATTGTACAGTATCTTCTGTGTATCCTGGACTGTTGCAACTTTTCTTAAGTGTTTCAGTGTGTATCATAGTGTTGTCTGCTGGTGTTTTTACCTGATTTACAAGCAGGACCACCTCTCGCGTGAGCGAAATCAGACTCTGAGATCTTTGGATTACTTATTTCAGTTATCATGTGTGTTCTTTATAGTTGTATGTACCTAATATTATACTCCATATTGTGTGAGTAGCAGCCTTTGACTCCAGTGTGGCGCGTGTCTGGTACACCTGAGTGGGAAGATTAAGTTCAATAACAGGTACTAGGTACCTTGCTCTTTTTTATTAATTTCACCTGCACCTGACACTTTGGGGGATTTGTTAAGGCTTGTAGACAGCCTGCAAAATAGAAATCTTGGCTAATGTCTAATGAAGGAAAGAAAATCTGTCAAAAAGTCTGCTAAAATCACCTAGCACCCATTTTTAAATGCTTTAATATGCATTTATTACATGTGTATGTACTGTATACAACAGTTACTGATTTATTTTTTTCTTTACTAGATTCTCATCAGGGAGGTACAGACTTGGCAGAATTTTCACATTCCCTGTGTGTAGAGAATTTTGACTGGATAACATTCCACTAGGTTATTCTGCTAGTACAAGCAGCTAGAAAAATAAATTATATTAATTCATTAATGTTTGTTTGCTTATTTTTATTATTTAAAAAACATGCTTCTCCACACAGAAGAACTAAGTGATTAAAGCATTTAATGAACATGTTCTGTATGGTACTGTACAGTGTGTGTGTGCACTGTGCAAGATCTGCAGATTGCATTGCAGCAAACTTGATGCAGGTGCAGAGACTCAGGAAGGATAATTATTTTGTTGCATTACAGTATTTATGGGCTGTACTTTTATTCATTTAGGGAAATTTATGGGAAGCAACAGGCTGGATTACAAGACAAAAGGACTTTTAATTTCTCTCACAATACGTGAAGAGAAAATAAAATGGCAGTGCTTGCAGGGTAAAAAACAGCAGAAAATTCATGGTGTTAAAAGTATCCTGGAGCCAAAATCTATTTTTCTTAAATGGCTTTTCATTCAAAATATGCCTGCATCATCCTAAACTTTTCTAGAAGATACACAGATCATTTGAACACTAGGGGACATACTTTGAGGTGTAAATGTGACAGTAAAACTACAATTTAGGCGTTTGTGTTGAGTAATGAAGTGTTCAAATGCATTTAAAATATGATTGAGATTCTGAGTAACTTAAAACAACTGAAGTATATTTGAAGTTATAAAACTTTAAATATAGTAAACTGACAACCTTCCAATACATTTCTTTTTTGTCATTTATAAGATTGACTCATTTGGAAACCAATTTTGGTGTGTTTCTTTATTTAGTGTTGTTTATGTCAGTATATGTGCCTCCATATAATGTTAATATACCTAATTCAAGTGTCCTTTTTAGTAAAAGAGACTTAATTGTGGAGCTCTAGTGCCATCTGTTGGACAAAGAAGCAGACCTTGAATCATGACCTAGATTTATTTAAGACAGGATGTGCAGGGTTTACACAAGTATACTGTCTTTACAATGCATTTCAAATGTCTAGCAAATTCTTGATTTGACATGCGGTAAAAATTAATAGAGATCGTTCAGTAGAAGAATTGTGTCGGACACTTCAACATTTAAAATCCTTATATCTTAAATATTCCAGGTGTCCAGAAGTCTTTGGTTTGCTGATACTTATGAGAAAAGTGCTTTGCTATCCTTCTGTCTCTGGTTCCTTTCAGGGAGAAAAGGGAGACCCTGGTGCCCCTGGAAAAGATGGGCTGAAAGGAGACAGAGGGGATTCTGTAAGTGCTTACATTTAGCATCATTTCAGTCCACATTTGAATGAGAATTATTTGTTAATGAAGCTGTCCTCCCCCAGGGCGCCCCGGGTGAAGCAGGAGCCAGTGGAATGAAAGGAGAGAAGGTACTGTGCAGGCACTCCTTCCAGTGGCTGTTGCATGGTGGCTGGAAGCTGGAACTGCATAGATTCACTTTAATTACCCCACATGAGGATTCATTTAGCTTTTATTCAGGAACTGTGCTTGTGGTATGGAACGGTGCAATTTTATGAGAAAAACTCAACTATCATCACCTATCAAACAGAGAAAGAAATTACCATTAAAAAAGTCCATTAAGCTGAATAATCCTTTTTCAGAAAAATACTTATGAAGGTTTTATCAATATGTATTCAGTTCTGGTAAAAAAGAAAAAAACACAGCATAACTGCAAATTATAATTTCATAATAACATCACCTCTTACAAACATTAAAAGAATGGTGAAGTATTAATTACCCTTTTGTGCTGACAGGTTTTGAAAGGCATGGCATTGTGGGATAGTTTAGAATTCTTTTATTGACCGTGTTTTCACAACAACACCTCTTCAGCGGGTTTTGTAAACCTACTAGCACACACTCTTTCTTCAGATCCCTTCAGAATGACTGTGAATGTGCAGCTTAAGAACAATCAAATCAGAAGGCTAAACCGGAAAATACTACGAAGAAATAAATAAGAGGAGAACATGAAGAGGTCAACCAAATATCACTCAAGATTTCACTGTTTTTATTTCTTTACAGAATAAAAATTTAAGCTCGGGTAATTAGCATATCATAAGCTATGTGGCACATGGAGTACTAATATTTGGACTGGACATGATGTAGACTGAACATTTGGTGAAATCTCATTCTAAAACATTTTTTTTACTATCTATAAAACAAAATTCATTTTCCAAGTTTCCTCCAGGGCTTAAAGCTATTGGGAAAAAGAAAACAAGACACAGTAGATGAGTCAGGAAACCATGAACTTGAACAGACGACTCTGAGCTTCCTACTGCAGCATTTTAACGATCTCTGCTTCTTGGAGAAGCACTGTCCATTGCTATCCCTTCTCCTCCATTACTCACACTCACTGAGAGATGTTTATAATAACACTCATGTGCTCTATCACAAAACATCTTCTTTTAATAATAATAATAATTGCTTACACTTATATGGCGCTTTTTTGGACACTCCATTCAAAGCACTTTACAGGTAATGGGGACTCCCCTCCACCACCACCAATGTGTAACATCCACCTGGATGGTGCGACGGCAGCCATAGTGCGCCAGAACGCTCACCACACATCAGCTATCATTGGGGAGGAGAGCAGAGTAATGTAGCCAATTCATAGAGGGGGATTATCAGGAGGCCATGATTGGTAAGGGCCAATGGAAAATTTGGCCCGGATGCTGGGGTTACACCCCTGAACTCGTATCAAGAGTTCACGTTTCATCAAAAGCCCCCTGAAGCAAAGCTTTTTTGTGTCTCGTTTGGTTGGGAGTTGTCTTAGTAGGTATTCTTCACCTTCACAGCTCCACAGTACAGAAAGAAGTATACTCTGTCCCTGAAAGATGCAGCGATCAGCCATCCTTCTTTTCTATGTTGTATATCGTACTATTCAGAACTCTAAAACACATACTGTACTTCTTTTTAACACATGAGGCTGGAAAATGTAGTTCCAACAATTGTCTTCTTTACCTTTGATTAGGGAGAAGTTGGACCAAGAGGCCCACCGGGACCAGTAAGTAACATAGAATTAGTTCTTGTTCCTCAGTTGTGTTTTTTGATGAAAAAAATAAGTCTTAAATTTAAAGAACCTCTTGCAGTTGTATTTTTAAAAGGTGATGATACTGCAAGCATATTGTCCACATAGAAAGTTTACTCTCTTATATCCTATGATGTGTTTTTTATAAGAAAACTTTCATTAAATGTTATTAACATGATTATGGCCCAAAGCCACATGAATTACTAATATTAGTAGATTTCATCTTAACAGGGAAGCTCATGCAGGTTGTTTTTATCATGAAATTAATAAATTGGTGCATTATTGTTGTATGTTGTCTTTTTCTTGTTCTGTCATTCCTTCAATCAGATGTATAATTGCAATCAACCTTTTCTGGTGCTTCCACTGAATAGCCGAGTTTGATTGTGTTTAGATTACCAGAATGATTTTATGTTTTTTAAAGCTTTTTTCTTACAACATCAGTATTTTAGAAATTCTTTCCATGAGCATCTTACAGATGCTTAATGTGGTGTATTCTGCTTGTGTAGAGTGAATAAGAGGAGTGCTGAAATGTTCATCTGCAGGTACATTTTGTCTCACCTGTCAATGATAGATTTAAAGCTGGGTTTTGTGTCCAAAGGCATGCAGTGAGTGAATGCTGTCATGAAGCAGAACACAAAATGGCATCATATTGTACAGTATCTGAATTAAGGCAAAAGCGTCACACATTTAACATACATTTTGTTTTTGTCTAGAAACTAGAAAATACAAAACATGAACCCATGTACCGTATAAACAAACACATGTCAGGATGATCACCTGAAAGACAAACACAATACAGTCATCTACTGGTGGAAGAGAATTTGATGAATGGCTTTTAAATGTGGTGCTGCTCAGACTAATCAAATAGACCCCAGTGGCTCTTCCTGCAAAGAATTTAAATTCTACAGTGACTCAAGGAAAAGTGAATGGAGAACCTCTCCTGAAAGCAAAACATTGAGAGAGCATAGTATTCCCCCCACCCCCACTCACTCTGAACTTGTAACATTCATTGTATGAAAACAAGATGATAAGACATTTCTGTAGAGATTTTCTTTTTATTCAGAGAAAATTAAAGGTGAATTCGTGAATGAATAATCTTTTGGCTACTGCCTGGGTGTCTTGTTCTGTACTCCCACAATCCTTTGTGTAAAGTACATCCTGTTCATAGGAAATGTATTTCCACATGTGTCTTCTGATGTGCTTACAACTGTTACATTACAGCTGTTACTGTTATGGTAGCTGTTGTAGTATATAATAATATAAATAACAAATTACTGATAGGCAAAAGATAAGTCATATTTCTTTTTATATTCCTGGATTTTCTTAATTGCAAATGACCAATATATGTATATTATATGTATATGCAAGGGCATTTCAATTACTAAGATAACATAACCCCTTAAAAATCAGAACATATTTCAAATGAGAAGAGGCCATTGGGTCCAACTAGCCTGTTTTATAGTTTAAGAGTTAGGTTGTTAAGTAAGGAGTTTGTAATTGAGCTACCCCACTGGGTTTGCTCAGGTAAAACTCTATCATCTGCACCTCACAGGAGTGCATCACTTGTCTGTGCTAGTATCAAGTTTTCCTAAATAAACACTCAGCACTGCAACCTGTGAGACTGGTTGTGGAAAGCCTTTCTTTAGAAACGGGACACCATCCTGTTGTACAATACCTTGAGGCCACACAAAGCCAATTCCTCAGTCCTCCTCAGTCCCTTAAGAGGTGATTTTCAGCTGGTGGTACATGGAACGGCATGGTCTTCACTGCAGCACCTTGAATACATTTCAGCTGCACTAGAGAGTATTAGAGCAACAATGGAACACATGTTGGGAGAAGTACTACACCAAGGGACTCTATTATTACATTGCTATGAGATCTCTTGTATTTTTTTAAATACCTTTGTCTGTTGCTATTTTTTTATAATGTATGTACTTAAATTGCCAGTGGTACCTTTCTGTACTGTGTACTGTTCTAATGTGAAGAAGAAAACAAGGTCAAAAAGTGGATAAACTTCTAATAATATGTACAGGAAAAGCTCTAGGGTAAATCACTTCCACGCCTTTCTGCAAAAACAGAGTGTGGGTTATTAATCTTTCTGTAAACCTTTTCTGGTTTATTTTCTGGGGGCCATATTGAAAGGGATTAATATAACCAACACAAAATTGCTGTTGTGCATAATTGATAGATGGCATGTCAGCCATCCTGTGTGAATGACATTTGACAAGGAGAAGTGATGACTAAATTTGAAATAAATGAGCAGCCAAAAATAAGCAGGCAACAGTGTATAAAAAGCAACATAGAAAACGTATTGCTAAAACATTGTTGGTGTTGGAAACAGCTACAGAATCTTCCAGTAATTCAGTGGATCTTTCATACTTGATTAACATTAGTTGCTCTCCTTACCTTAAACATCAATCTTAATGATTGAACTGTAGGCAAACACACACATACCACTGGAACTAAACTTACTACACAGTATTGTGCACCAATGAAGACACTGGGAGGCATTAGCAAACATTTTTTTACCTTTGTATGTTGAGACACCACCACCCATTACAAGAGTGGATGGAGTAAAAATTAAAGTAAAAACAGTTTCAAACCCACTGAGCAATAAAGTGGTGGCAGTCTGTGGAAATCTTCCTGTGCATTGTTTCTGAAAATAGCCCTGTCTGAAGAATCAGTTAGCCTTAGAAAGATAAGTTACTCCAATTGCAATGTCATTTCTGAGGCTGGGAGTGGAATTTACTCTGGGGGATATCAAGGTTCAGGATCCTGATTGTGTGCGGCAGGCGGTCACTCTGTAGAGGAAAGCTGCAGTTTTTGGTCTTCCCAGGGTAAACGCAGATAATTACCGCCAGTCCCTGAGCTGGCTGCTGCCAGAGGGAAGCTCGACTGCAGGACAGGAGAGAAAAGCCCCAAGGACATAGCATTTGCCAAAGGTGCAACAGCTATAGAGTGCACTCTGCTCAGAACCGTCACAGTGGAATGCCCTTCATTCTGAATTCCATTCCTGGCATTTTCTGATAATGGGCAAGTTTAAATTAAGACTTTACGTAATACTAAATTCGATGTTGAAGCAATCTTTATACAACATTGTAATTTTTTTGAAAATACAAGATCTTCGGATGCTTGCTGTTTCGTCCAGCTGAGAGGAGTACTGTCTGTGTATTTCTTTGTTTTGTGCAGGATTTTCATTAACTGTCAACTTGGAAAGCTTAGAAGTGTTGAGAATCCCCAGGAACATTTAATCCAAATGTTTACAGGACTTTGATTTGCTTTGATTCTGGCTTTGAATGCACATTTTCACTTGTATTTAAACAACATCAGATAAAACATGGTTTATCTATCTTTATTATCTTTTCAGGTGATGACAGCTCATGGTTTAAGACATCTAACTGGATCTGTAAGTGTGTCTTCTTTTAAAGAACAAAATGCAAAATTCTGAATTCTAAAGTAAGGACACACAAAGGACTAATACATTTTTAAAATTTATTTACAGTGTGAGCAGAATTTCAGTTGAACCTTTTTTCATTACTTGGAATAGCATTAATAAAAAAGCCTTTCTTTACTTGAAACTTTAATTTGAGCTTTTTTCTTTAGCTTTTGCCACCATCTGTAATCTTGTTTGCTTGCTGTCTGTAATCAGGGTGAACCAGGGGAAAAGGGACAGAAGGGAGAAAAGGGAGATGTAAGTATGAGCAAAATTCCCAAAACAATATTAAGACTAAAGAACTTCTTTCTCATGGATCAGGATTTGGATAATACAAATCTCTAACTATTAGAACCAACAACAATAAGTGGGAGTATGAATGAAGTGGCTGTGGTTGCATGGATGTTAGCACTGCTACCTCAAAGCTCTAGAGTACCAGATTAATCTCTGGCCTGCAATACCTTCTGTGTGGAGTTCGGATGCTTTCCCCAGAGCTCTGTGGGGTTTCTTCCTTTGCTTTGGTTATCTCCCACAGTCCACAGACATTCTGTCTTGGTGAAACCTTGTCTTTTAAACTGTCCTGCACACATATGTGAGTGCAATGGCATGCCCTGTGATGGACTGGTGCATCTGTGATGGTCCCTTCCAGGTGTGTTCTGCCAGGTTAGGCTCTGGTGCCTTTGCCAAGACTCTCTGTTGGATACAACTGTACAAAGCCTGTACTTTGTACAGTTGTTTCCAGGTGGATGCTGCACATTGGTGGTGGTGGAGGGGAGTCCCCATTACCTGTAAAGCGCTTTGAGTGGAGTGTCCAGAATAAGTGTAAGCAGTTGTTGTTGTTGTTGTTGTTGTTGTTATTATTATTATTATTTATTACTTGTCATTGCAAGGTACTGGATTGCTTAAATAAAGAAAAAAAATCTGCTCTTACTTCTTTATCTGCTTTGTTTAATTTCTCCTGGTATCACAGAGAATTGTGGAGCTAAAAGAATAATACAAGCAAATGAAAAATAAATATTGTAAATTTTAAAGCAAAAAATTCTATAAATATTATTTGAATGAGAGATGGAAAAAATTTAGTTCAAAATCTTAATGTTGCATGTTTAATATGTGACCTGAAAAAAGTGGTGTGATCGGTTGAGTGCAGTTCCTACTGTCTATACAGTATGTTGGACACATAGCAATGGACAGATGGGATCTCATAAAGTCAGAAATACACTTCCATTGCTTTTACTGTACTTACAGTACACTAACACTTCTGTTACTGTTAACATTCAAAGCTCTAAACAATTTTATTTCTCCCTAGGTACATTTAGGTCTGCATTGCACTGTAAATGCAATAAGACCCTTTAAGACAATGTTGGTATTCATCAAAATGTACATTCATCCAGTACATGTAAACTGCAACTGAACGCAAAACCTGTTGTGAATTAATGCACCTCTTTTGAGGGAAACTAGGTGTACATCTTCCTAACATGTTGCCTGATATTTCCTTTCAGGGTGAGAAGGGGATCCAGGGACTGCAAGGCCTAAAGGTAAAAGAAAATGAAAATGCTTTGATATAAGAAGAAAACATGTAAACTCCAGTTTTTAAATGAGGATAAAGGATCTCTAGACCTAAGAAAATGCAAGGAGGATGCAAACAAAACAATACGAAATTCAGACCTTCTGGCTACAGTTTAAGTGTTCTTGAATGTTTCTGTTGCTCAGCCCAAGAGAGACTTTATAAGAATTCATTTCTTTAAATGACCCCTCTTAGGAGCCTTAGGTATCTTGTATCCAAACATAAATCATGAATCTATTGTTTCTGTCTTCAGGGGGAAAAAGGAGAAGCAGGTCTACCAGGTCCTATAGGAAATCCAGGCTCAGAGGTATGTTCTTGTTTTGTATCACACCAACTGTTTGAAAATCAGAGATGTGCTGATTTCATTGGCAACCGTGATTCTGAAGCTATTGAAGGTGCTCCTACAATAAAATTTACAGGCAAATCTGTGCCACATTTTCTCAAATATTTTGTTCTGTATAAGACTTTAATTCTGCCTTGTGCCCCCTTACAGACGAAAGGTTGTGTTTATTCCATGAAAAAAGGTAGCAAATTTCAAAAGCAAGACACTACTAAAGTGCTGTCTGGTTCAGGCACACATTTGCACACCTAAGCACACCCTGAACTTCCAAATGTAAGAAAGTGGTCATCAATCTAGGATCTGAAATCAAAACCTACAGTATATCTTATAACTTTCTTGAAAAGATTTTACAAAACCAGTTACATCACATTTTTTTCTAATTGGTTTGGCCTTACACTTTTTAACTCAGTCTTCAGTTTTATTTTGTTTTTGATGAGTTGACCAGCTGCAGGTTTTACCAAAATGTCAAGTCTTTACTTTTCAGTTCAAATAACTGCAATTTTCACAGTCAGGGAAAAATCAAGGAGATTGCTGCAATTCCCTTTCTCTAATGAAAACACTGCTGGCTTTTTGGCCTGGACAGATAATTTGGTTTATTGTTCAGAGAGAGATTCTTGCATTGCTCAGTGGGACACAGAGAGCCAGAAGGGATTTGTCTGAAATCCATTGTGATTTAACAAGCTGTAAACATGACACAAATGTCCTATTTATTCTCATTACATTTAAGTACCTGAATAAAATCTACATAATATTATAAAAAAGGGCAGAGGTTACTTATTGCATATTGATAAGGTAAGAGTATGACTGCATTGTTGCATCAAGGCGTGGAGCTGCAAGTTGACATTACGGGTGATGTTTGTCAGTGTGCAGTTACGAGTGGCTTTATTGTGCAATTTAACAGGGTAAAGAAGGACCCCCAGGGACAGCTGGGCCTAGAGGCTTACCGGGAGCAGAGGTAACAAATACAAATCGAACTCATTAGGACTGCATTGGTTCCTGTCACAGTGTAATTTTATGTTGCTCTGATCAGCTGCCAGACTGGAGGGTGAATTGTTACACAGATGATAAGTAATCAAATTTGAGAATTAATTGGTGAATACAGTCAGATTTTAAAGTTTTATGTGGAAGAATGTTGGTAGCAGCGCAATCTGTTCTTCACACCTGCTCAGTGTAATGAGCGTCTCTCCTTATGAGAGAGATGGATTGCACAAATCCTAGGGAAGAAAATGTCTCTTCTGTAATACTGTCATCTTCAGAAGACTAGCAGGGAAATCCATATACCTTTGGACTAAGCAGATCCAAATGATTTTCCCTCTTTTACCAGGGATTACCTGGAGATCCAGGAGTGCCAGGAAAAGATGGAAGCAAGGGAGAAAAGGTGGTTCTTTATTTCATTCCCTTTAAAGTGTACAATGGAATTAACTTCATATTTTTATTTAGATAGTTCATACTGTCTGCTCTTTCTGGTATTTAGACAATTTATTTCTCATTACAGTTGTTCTTGTATTGCTTGCTGCTGTGTATATTTTCTTTTTTACTTTTACTGTTCATTCTGACTTTTGCAGTGATAAAGCTTCTGTTGTAATAGCTCAGGGAGTGAGTCAGGACCAGCACTGCACCTGCCTGAGTAGTCTTATATCAGAGTATAGCATAGCATATTCCTCCAAGAAACGTTTTCAAAAGAGAAACCTTTTTATTTTTCTTGACTTTTGGATTCCAATTTTCCTCTTAAACCACTCCAATTTGGAATCACCCATTTATATACAAATTCACTAACAAGGGAGGAATGAGAGTCAGCTATGTCTATCTGTTAAATGTGCCTCACCCTATTTTGTTATGTTTCCATTATACCTGAAGAATCGCTAACAAGGCAAGCAACAGCTGTGAAAGTGAGAAAAGTTAGATTTTTATCAAACAGTAAGATACTGTACATCAGCTGTGTAACTTCTTAGTTAGAGTAGATTTTATAGATCTTGTACAATACATGAACCTAATGGTGGGAGAATAACCTCAACATGGATGATTATCTGGAGGGTGTCCTGACGAATCTATCTTTTTTTAAAAAAATCTCTATGTGACATTTAATGTTAATACTACCTTTGCTCTTATTTTAGGGAGACTCCGGTGGGGTAACTGGTCCTCCAGGACCCCCTGGTCCTAAAGGTGAACCCGGAATACCAGGATTGGGAATGCCAGGAAAGCCGGTAAATTATGGATTAGCAGAGCTGTAGTGAACACAATTGCTGTACAATGTATTTCTGTAGATCCTTTTTCTAACTTCTGGTAGCAGACAGATATTGGTGTCAATGAATGTTTCCATTCCTTTTCAGTGTACATCATGAGTCAAACCTGCATTGCCTTAATGAGTAATGATAGTGAATGTAAAGCAGGTGAAATTTAATTGTGCTTGGGGATTTCATTATTTTTTATTCAAAAGATTTCAAATGAAGGGGTATGTAAAGTATGACTGCTACTTAAGTAGTTATGAAAGAAGTTACAATTTTAAAGCATTGTATGCATAAATGCACAACTCAGCCAATCTGAAAGAGACTGAATAGAAACAAACGCAAAGCAGAACTGCTGGAATCAGCTGCAATGCTAATTTTAATAAATGGTAGAAATCCTGACACAGTGAACAGTTGCAGCATAATATTGTTATAAGCATCTGTAGCCACCTAAAATATTTTTTAGGCTTTGTCATAAGCTGCTTTATGTTTTTATTTATACTGCTATGGTGAAAGGTAAAACTACAGCATTGAGCAAAGGCTCAAATGTTACTATGCAGTAACGTGCAGTAGATCAAGGGTTACATGTACGTAAGCACAGACTCACAAAACTGCGGAGATATTTAAACATCTGAATCCATTTTTCAGACGGTAGCGTTAGAATGCGTGAAAGAGAACAGCGTGACCATGGGGGCCAAGTGCTTGCTTTAAGGCCTGAGAGATGACAGTGAAATTTTAAGCAGTCTTACAACAGCAGGGTATCTGTGAAATCAGAAAGGATTTCTGACTATTTCTGTTCATCACTGTTCAAGGAGCAAACTGGAAAGTATAAAGAAAAGCAGCTTCGTTAATGGCAATATTTTTTCTGGAGGTTTTTCTTTTAGCTTAGCCCAGCAGGAATGGAGGAAAATAGAAACCCATGCATTTCATTGTGAAAAATAAGATTATTATGTATACAGAATATGAATGACTTTACATAGAAATAATCTTGATTGTATTGAATCTATACAGATGCCTATTAATTGTCTCAGAGCCTGTGACTATATTTTGTCTTTATGTTGACCTTGCAGTGCATTAAAGCAGTTTCAGAAAAAAGTTTGCTTTAATTTTACTAAATGAAGTTCAGTTTAGCTTTTGCTGCTGAATTTCATTAATATATCAGCTGTTGTGTCTTTTGTATTGATAAGATGGTTTGAATTTATGGGACCAATTAGAAATTGGAATAGTATATTACAAAACTATATTTATGGTGACTATTAATCAATCAAACAAAACCAAAAATGTAATGTCTGCATACAGATTCAAAGTATACTACAGTATATATATATATTTAAATTAACAATGAAATGAGTTACAAACCAATAAGAATGAACATACAGTATATGTAAATCAATCTGACTTGATACAAAATGTTGACAGTTTCACTTAGTCACTCACTTAAGATTGCCTGACATTGATAATATTGATTATAACACTTGATGTTATCAGTCTAGTAATTTAAATCAGTCTGGTGCCATAGGTTGTCTAATCAGAACTGGAAAAAAGAGAGAAGTTGAATTTAGCCCTTAATCCTGAAGACAGTACTTAACAATATGAAGAAATACACAAAGAATCGATCTCAAGTGGCTTATCCAACAGTTTTTGTACAACCTACCCCTTAGCCCAGTGCTAAGTCTTGCTTGAGTCCAGCCACAGGCTAGACGTGGGTGAGGAGAAACTTAGTTCATTAGCCCTGGCTGTAGCTTCTACTACTGAATTTACATCAATATTCAGGCATGTCAGTAGAATTAGATTTGGCTAGCTAGTCTCATTATTTCTCTTGTTCCTGAGAAAGTCTTGCAGGAAAGGACAATAGTGGTTACAGTCATGTGGTTGAATAGCTTATCAGAATGCCAGGTTTCAAGTTGGAGAAAGTTAAGTCTTATAATCATGGTTGGTGATTAGTTTTAAAGCAAGGTGTGGTGTCCTTCTCCACCCAAAGGATTCACCATTGGTTGGTTGTCTTATGATTATCAGGTGACTTACAGCTAGGGTCCCACTCCACGTAGACGTAGTAAATTAGGCAGTGCTGATGTTGGGCTCTACAATATTGAAGGTGTTAAATATGGATCCATATTCTGGTATGTTTTAAAGTTAAGATGTGCTGTGTATCAGAAAGACACATCTCGGATGCATTTCCAAAAGCTTGAATTAGTGGAGCTACTGAATGTTATGCTAGGGTTGTTATCTGTTCAAGACCACAGAAAGTTTTTTTTTTAATATTCTTAACGCTTAGTCCTTAGTGTAATTATAAACCTCAGTGTTACACTTTGTTGTTTTTTTGTCTCACTGAAGGAGTAGATGTGCTGCAGCTACAGTGGTTCTTGTTGTTACATAATATATGGAGCAGTGATTGTAGAAATCAAATACCTATCAGTGGCATGTGTTAAGGTTCCAACTTGTCTTTTGCATACTATTGAAGTAGATAACAAGATTGAAAATACTTGGATGGAATTTAACATTCTTTTGTTACTTTATTTAACAGGGAGAAGAAGTACCAGGTCCAAAAGGATCCCGGGGCCCAAAGGTAGGTGTCAGTATTTTGATGTGGCCTAGAAGCCTCTTAGTGATAATGTGAAGCTGAGAGAAAAGACTCAATAGTTTTCAGCCAACACACCGCCAGCCCATATTTTGAAACTGTTTTTTCTAAAAAAGCAATTGTCAAATTATCTACAATATATAGTGCCTGTGTACACTGTGTACAGTGCCTCACAAATAACACCTTCCCCTAATGTACGACTTTGATGGTGTACACTGCCATACACAAGTATTCCTACCCTTGTAGAGTTGTCTTGAACTTTGAGGTAGTAATTATTTTTTATCTACTCCACACTTTTAAAGCAAAAATCAAAAATCAAGTAAATATATAACCAATATTAAAAGAAAATAGCCACAACTGAATAACTCAATTCAAACCCTTTGTCAAATTTAGGTTTCAGGTGCCCAAAATTACCATGAAGAGCAACATAATTAATCTGTGTGCAATAATAGTGGTTCACATGATTTCAGAATAAATATACAGTACCTATTTTTGTAAGATCCCTCAGGTATCTTTTTTTTGCACAAATTCAACCATGAAGACCAAGGGGATTTTATAACAACCAGGGATAAAACTGTCCATTTAAAGGACATAATATTAAGACAATCATCAAGAAGTGGAAAGCACCCAGAGATTTTCAAGCTGTCCTTAATAACTGATCAGCTGGGCAAGGAGAAATATAGTTAGGGATGCCAATGTGGCCAACAGCTATTCTAAAAGAACTACAAAGTTCAGTGGCTGAGGTGTGAGGAAATGTCCATTAGTCTACAATTTCCCAGCCACTTCACAAAGTTTGTCTGTATGGAAAACAAATACTACAAAAGCACAAGGAATTTGCAACAAAGCATTGGAGTAATATGGCAAACATGAAGCAAAAGATTTGTGGTCAGAAAAGACAGAATTAGAAGTGTAAAGTCTAAATGCAAAGTGTTACATTTGACGCAGACCTGATGTAGTGTATCACTCACCCAACACCGTCCCTACTGTTCTGTGCATAATCGCTTCTTTGCTGCTGTACATCAGGGGGAAAGAGGTGTGCCGGGAGTTCCTGGTGATCCAGGAGAGAAGGGAGAACCTGGAATGGGAATGCCTGGACCTCCAGTAAGTAGAGCACATGCTGATCTACCTGGAAATAATGCATGAAGTTGAAGGTGTTTTAAATTTGAGTTTTAAAAGATTTTTTCTGTAATATCCAGAAACTCCCTTAAGAAAGTACCACTGTGGAAAAACAAATAAGTACAAGGTATGACAAGAGCACTCTCTAAACCTACAAGACAATGAATGTGCCATGTCCACACAGTAGCATTATCACATACTCCTCCTGCACTCCTGTTTATTGTAGTCACTTTGTGGTTCACATAGTTTGTAAAGTTGTCTAATTTCTTCTGCTGTAGCTGCAGTGTGACAGTGTTGATGGTGACATCTGGGCTGCAGTGTGATGAGTTCTTCTTTGAACATGTTACCTAATTTTTATGTTCTCTTCCATTTTTCAATTTTTTTGCATGCCCTTATATTGTTGTATTGTTCTAGTATTCTTGTTTCATGAGTGAAAATTACATATTGTTTGCTATTTCTTGAAAAATTGAAGTTCTCTGGCAGGTCATTAAATCTAGACGTTTTTTTCCATACATCTGAGATAAAAGCAGAAGAGCTCTGTGGATTTTCAGGGATTTACAGGGAACACCAGTGACATTATGTTTGTGCTGTCTTGCAGGGCCCAGTTGGACCTCATGGGGAGCCAGGTGTTCAAGTAAGAAGATATCTTATTATCACTTTAGCAGAATAAAGGAATAGTGCAGTTCTGTGTGATGATACTCCATTGGCAACTGTATTCCCTTTTTCATAAGAATGAAAGAATTCATAGGAGAGATTAAAGACAATAAGATTTTTGTAGAATTTATAGTTTAGTGACTAAGTAAATATAAAACAGTTCCCTGGGTTGACCCCATCTATATTCCTTAGGACTTTATGCACTTGGATCAGGCTCTTTTCTCTGTCTCTTATATTCGGAGCGGTGGCTCTGTGGCTAAGGATCTGCGCCTGTGACTGGAAGGTTGCCGGTTCAAATCCCGCGGCCGGCAGAGGAATCCTACTCCGTTGGGCCCCTGAGCAAGGCCCTTAACCCTAACTGCTCCAGGGGCGCTGTACAATGGCAGACCCTGCGCTCTGACCCCAAGCTTCTCTCCCTGTCTGTGTCTCCATGGAGAAAAGCTGGGGTATGTGAAAAGACGCATTCCTAATGCAAGAAATTGTATAGGGCTAATAAAGAAACATTATCATTATCAGTGGATCACTGATGACCAGTCAATGCTGGGTTTATAACAATCAATCTCAGTATTTGTCCCTCGACCTATTTTATTTTTTGAGATGAGGACATACTGTATACTGTAGCTCTATGATTGTACCTAATCATTTTCAAACCATTTCGCTCTGTGGCTAGCTGTGTTTGCTGAATCCCTTAATGTTACAGGTGACAAATTTGAAAAACCTTCTATACACACATCTACTGTATATACATCTACTGTGTATAAATGACAGTGAGTGAAGAAATGAAAAAAATATTTTAAGACTGCTTCATACTTCACACATGGACTTACAACTGCAAAAAATGTTAATGATCTGAGATTGATAATGAATAATTTGTGTTAAATCAAACAGATCAAACTATTTATATTTGAGTTCAATCAACTGCAACCCACTTGTAAACTTGTAACAATCAAAACTATCTAAAAAAAGAAAAAAACAACAAGTTCATATAAAGAAATTGAGCAAACTGAAGGCCATTTAGAAAGCTAAAAGTTAATTAATTTTCTAAACTAGCAGCAAAAGATAAGGTCTTCACTGAAATATCATTTTGCATTTATCATTCACTGGCAAAACAAAAAGAAATTATGCACAAATGGCAAAGTAGTTAAAGAACAAATGACTGGCCACTGACTCAAAAGCTTAAAAATCAAATGGAAATAAAGAAGGCAATCTTGATCATGTCAATTGGATCCACAGTAGCAAGAGAAATGGAGTCTTTGTCTGAAGCCATCTTTCAACAGTTACAGTTAGAATTGGTTCAAATAATAAATTGACATTACTGCAACAACCCAGCTAATTGTGTGCATGGATGACAACTTGGATGACCTTTCAAACTGCTTTTGTACAAAAACATTTTTGTCTGTCCTCAGGCGTTGTACTATGGTCAACAAACTTCTTTGTCCAGGCTGATTCATCTCAGAGATTCAGCCTCCTTCTCTAGGACTCTCATCCTCCAACTCTGACACTCCCATAGAGCACTCCTGTGTGGTCTCAAGGCCATTTTCCTGGCTATCTGATATACCTGCTGAAAAGACACAAGCCAGACCTGACAAAGCTCTGTCGTGAATGAACTCTATAATGGTGTTAATAGGTTCCCTCTAATTAGCCCAGCTAACCAGCTAATTATATTTCTATCTCTATTAGGGTCTTATAAGCCTCAATGTTATAGTCAGTGTATCTTCAGCCCGTCGAGTTACACCAAATAAATATTAAATGTGGGATTCCTACAGTATAAACATTGCCATCTCGTCGCATTAATAAGAGTTTGACTGAACTACAAAAATTGATTTTTTAAACAGAAGTTGAAAGGAAGTCTAACTTTAATTTTGGCCTGTTACACAAACTACTGCATAAATATCTTGACTTTTAAACTCACTTTTGCATATCTGTCTTTCAACCCTCCCTCCACACCATCTTAACCATTGCAGCAGATACCTGATTCTTTGCCTGGAAAGCAGAGGGGTCTTGTCAGTCTCAACCTTATTGTCAGGTTGCCATTTCCTGAGCCAGGAAGGTTTTGAATAAACTATACGCTATCCCTTTAATAACACTTAATTCTAAGACCCATAGAGGAACCAATTTTGTACATAAATGTGTAAAATGCTGCAGTAGCCCAGATTGTTCTTCTGCAGTGCATCCATTGGTGTCTCTGTTTCAGGGGCTTATAGGATCCCCAGGGTTACCAGGAGCTGCAGGAATCCCAGGGAAAGATGTAAGTGAGCATGTATGCTGGAATTTTCTGTCAAAATGCAAACACTTAAAATGATATAACATAATTTCTTTAATTAAAGCTGCAGTGATTTAATACAGAAGGGTTATGTCATTGTCTTGTTGGGCTGCAGTTCACCAGGTGACTCTCCTATTGTGTTTAGTGTGGCTCTGCTTTGATTGGCCCTGCTCAATGTCTCTTATTAAAGGGAGCTCCAGGAAAGGATGGGAAGCCAGGACCCCCAGGACCTCCAGGAGAACCAGTAGGTGTTCCTGTTGACAAAAACAACTGAAATATACAGTGACTTTACTGCATCTAAAAGTCCTCATAATAACGCACCACCCAGAGCTCCTATAAATTACTGCCATCCAGCAACTCCTGGGGTGGAACACAGACCCCCCCTCTTCACCAACACACAATCCTCAACAGTCCTGTTACTCTGCACCCCACACATGATGAAATTAGGAAATGGGACTGTGTGAAACAATGACATTTCTTTTTTTCAGACTGCACTGCCAATAGTTCGAGACATGGGAGCTATGTTAAAGGTACTGTCTATTTTGTTTGCTTTTGGTCTTTTGTTTTTCATTCCCTGATTAGGGCAAAATAAAATTCCAATTTAACTCTTTTATTTAAATCTTTGATCACAAAGTGAGTATTGGATATCCAGTGGTTTCCAAAAAGATTTGAATTGGGGCATTAATGGATCTAGAGTAGGTACATTTGCTTACATTTTTATAAGCTAAGACACACAGCAAGATCACTGAACATTTGTAAGATCTCAGGCTCTTCTTTATAATAATTACAGTATATTACTTAAGGTAATTAGAACACATCTTTCTGATAAATGTCAGAACACTTCAGGTAAACAGCTCGGGTGGGTTTGTGTGGATGAAAAGGATTTTTTAGTCAAAGCTGTATCTAAAAAACATTAGCTGCTATGTACACTCATGAGTGAGAGTGGTTTCTGCAAATATAGATATGCACTATCTATTATAAAGAGCTCAATTAATAGGGGAGGTGGAAAGATGTGCGGTTTTGTTCAAATTGGGAGATCAAAGTGTTAATGAGAGATTTAATTAGAGTCCTTGCTCTGGGAACAAGAGAGATTTTTCTGTTCTTTGTTTTGGAAACCTCCTTGGAGAATAAGGTCTAAGAATAAGACTTGCTTTGCACGCCTTTGGTAATTAGGGTCTACAGCACACATCATTTTTAACAGCTAGACAAATACGAGTGCAGGTGAAGAAAGAGGTTACTAAGTGGTATTTATCCGCATCTCAAGAAAGTTATTATCAATGGCGTGTTTTGGGGTTCAAGGAAATAAGCTTAAAAGCCATTGCTCATGCACACAGGTTTTTATTTTTCTGATGCCTGAGAGGAAGCACCAGAGTGCCCCCTGCAGAGTTCTGTAAAGATTACAGAATAGTAAGCCAAAGTACTAGCAGCGTTCATCTCACCCTTCAAACACATTAACATCCAATGTGTTAGAGTGTTATAACATAGCTTCTCCTGTTAAAGGGAAAGAAGGAAAATCCAATTCTCACTAATAAATTGCATCCTTGAGAAAATAAAATAACATTATGGCAAGTTTTCATTCCTTTTCAATCATCTTCAGTGCCTCCCTCCTCTCCTCAGAGACTTCTTTTCCTTGACCTTGTATTCTGCTGTGTGCTGTGCCAGGCCTAGTTCAGCACAGCTCATGTCTCTTGCAGAAGCGCTTTGCTAAGTTGCTTTGTTTTATCAGACAGCTGTCATATTCACCATACTGTTGAATGGGGTTATTTATTATGAGGGATTAACAAACTATACATAAAAATCTACTTTAATGAGTCATTTCAAACTAGACAGTTCAAAAATCAATTTAGGTGAAGAAAGAAAAAAATGAACATAATGTACAGTATGGTCTTAAGTGTACATGGAAGCCATTTTCTGCTTTAGACTGCAGTGAATAATTTTGAATACCTCTAAATATTTCTATTTCAATGATATTACTCTTGACAATAATGACTGGTATGAGAACCTATTTTATGTTTTGTCATTTCTTCCCTTTATTGTAACTCCGGGGCCCTTGATTAGTTTGATGCGTGTCTCAGATTATCCTGAGGAAGGACTTGCTGCCAGCCTCAAGGACCTTGTATAATTTTACCTCTGTATGAAATCTCTGTCAGCCATGCGATTGTGATTATGTGCTTGTGTTGGAATTGCAAAGGTTCAAATGGATATTAGTAGGACAGCACATGAATAAAAACATTTTTCATGAGTTTCACTCAGGTGGTAGTAGACAGGGGTCTTAAGTAGTATTAGGAGTTGTTGTGGTGATACTGTAGCTACCCTCTTTATAGTTCCAATTTCTAATTTTTATGCTGTTGATGCGGTCTGTCAGCACAAGCATATCAAAACTGAAACAGTACTGCAACACAGTACTATTTCTGCAACACTTGGCTACTCAAGCCAAGTCCTGCAAAAACAGTTTCCAGTCTGTTCCACATCCACGGTGCAAAAACTACAAAAAGCTCAACATTCAGATGAACAAATTGCAACACAAATTGCAGCACCATTCTTTTCCAACATACTGTACCTTGGAGTAACCCTTAGAGGTAGCAAAGCAAGGAACTTTCTGATCTCCACACTGCTGGTTCAACATGGGGAGCTGCTTCTGCCACCCTCCAGACTTTCTCAGCAGCAGAGTACTGCGCCCCTGTCTGGTCAAGATCATCACGTGCTCACAGAGCAGACTCCCAGCACATCATCACTGGAGCCCTGCACTCCACCCCACTCCCCTAGCTGGCTCTCCTAGCAAACATCACTCTTCCACACAGCCGACAACTCACAATCACCTGCAAAATGTTCTAAAAAGTCCAAAATGCTCTCACCTGCCACTTCACAAAGCTACTGTACATCTGCCTTCAAGAAAGCCAATCTAGAAAAACACTTCCCAGGAGGACTTCAATACAGACTCCACTTAGGTTCAAGAATGGCAATCACTGGATTTGACAAACAAGCACCTCATCACACATCCTACCCAATCAACCTCCCAGCTTTCACCCTTCAAGAAAAGAGAGGTCCAGTCTAAATCACTTTAGGACTTTTTAGCATATTTTGAGGCATGCCTAATCTGGAGATTAAGTGGAGGACTACACAATCCACTGAAGCTAAGCAGGTATGAGCCTGGCCAGTACCTGGACAAGATAAAATAAGATCTATTTATTGGCTTTATACTATATTATACCATATACTATTTCTTCTATTAGGAATTTGTCTTTTCACACACCCCACCTTGCTCTCCATGAGACATGCAGACAGGGAGAGAAGCTTGGGGTCAGAGCACAGGGTCAGCCATTTGTACGGCGCCCCTGGAGCAGTTGGGGTTAAGAGCCTTGCTCAGGGGCTCAACGGAGTAGGATTCCTCTGCTGGTCACAGGATACGAACCGGCAACCTTCCAGCCAGAGGCTACAGAGCTACAGAGCCACTTAGCTAGCAGCCATATCACCCTGCAACTCACAACTGGCAACCCACTGAAGCTAAGCAGGTGTGAGCCTGGTCAGTACCTGGATGGGAGACCTCCTGGGAAAAACTAAGGTTCCTCTGGAAGAGGTGTTAGTGGGGCCAGCAGGGGGCGCTCACCCTGCGGTCTGTGTGGGTCTTAATGCCCCAGTATAGTGACGGGGACACTATACTGTAAAACAGGCGCCGTCCTTCGGATGAGACTTAAAACCGAGGTCCTGACTCTCTGTGGTCATTAAAAATCCCAGGGCGTTTCTCGAAAAGAGTAGGGGTGTAACCCCGGCGTCCCTGGCCAGATGTCCCATTGGCCCTTACCAATCACGGCCTCTTAATAATCCCCCTCTATGAATTGGCTTCATCACTCTGCTCTCCTCCCCACTGATAGCTGATGTGTGGTGAGCGTTCTGGCACACTATGGCTGCCGTCGTATCATCCAGGTGGGGCTGCACATTGGTGGTGGTGGAGGGGATCCCCATTACCTGTAAAGCGCATTGAGTGGAGTGTCCAGAAAAGCGCTATATAAGTGTAACCAATTATTATTATTAATTAGCTACAGAACCACTAGGACCTCCTGGGAAAGCTAAGGTTGCCGCTTGAAGAAGTGTTAGTGGTACCAGTAGAGGGTGCTCATCATGCAGTCTGTGTGGGTCCTAATGCCCCAGTATAAGAGTAGAGTTGTTACCCCGGTGTCCTGGCCACATTTCCCCAAGGGCTTTACCAATCATGGCCTCCTAATAATTTCCATCTATGAATTGGCTTCATTACTCTGTTCTCCTACTCACTGATAGCTGATGTGTGGTGAGCATTCTGGTGCACATCGGCTGTTATTACATTACGCAGGTGGGGGCAGCACATTGGTGGTGGTGGAGTGGAGTCTCCATTGCCTGTAAGACACTTTGAGTGAAGTGTCCAGAAAAATGCTAAGTGCTGTAAAGATTATTATTATACATTTTTTGAAGAAGACTTTTGAATTACTGTTAACAAGTCTTTTATTTAGACTGATTTTGTTGATAAATCCAGCAGCCAGTATGGACCAGTACAGACCTTTACTTTCAACTGTGTCTGGAGTTTGCATGTACAAAGAGTCCCCTAGTCACACTAACTAGTACAGAGATCTTCAGCATATGTATTAAGAGTTGTAGTTTTACCTATTATTTAACCTCTATTAACCTAATGTAGTTCTGCAGGTTTTAAAACCACAATTAGGAAATCTGGAGCACATTAGATAAAAGATAGCATCTTAATGAGCTACTGTACCCTACAATTCTAAAGTTCTTGTTAGTTTTTTTTAATATTCTTGTGTCTTAGAAACACTTGGTCTTAATTTCTGTCTTTGACTTTAAATCGTAATGCAAATCTTCAGTTGGGAAAACCATATGACATTTAATAAGGACCTCGTTAATATGAGCAACAGTAATGTTTTATAAGTGTTTCATTTGATAGTATTCTGATGTACATGTTTTGCTGCCTTTTTGTTGCCTATTCAGTACGCAGCAGCTTTGAACTATTTGCATAAATTGGTACCTTCAGAGATAAATAGCTAAAGATGTACATATAAAAAGGTCAAAATCATTAAAGGGCATTTCATTGCGAGCATTTCACTGTCTTTTAATTATCTTAAATCTGTCATTATTAAGCAATTGTTATTGCATCGACTCCAACCTGACAGCCAGCTGCCCACTCCAGCGTTTTGGTCTTCATTTTATTTTTAGCTGTCAATAGTGTTTTGGGGGGGATGCCATTTGGAGGAAAATAAAGTATCCCAGTTTTAAAATGTAATATTTTCAAAAGATTTAATTAAGTAATATTTAAAGCTGCCACGCATTTAGTTATTTGGTATCCATCTAATTTGAAATCTGTACTTGAAATGTTCACTGAGAAGAAAGTCAACACATTTTGTTTTATCTCCCACATAACCTGAGTGTCTGGTTAAGGAAATTAGTATGCTGTACTTGGAAACTGGAATAAGCAATCCAATTCGTTATTGATAACAGAGATGCTATGTAAAGCATTTATAGTGAAGATCTGAATGTTACTTTTAAATTCAATGATGCAAGTTGCTAGTGAAAGGTACCTATACATGGCTGTAATTATAGCAAGGATGTATTCGATTACTGTAGTGCTGCAAACACATGTGGTCTTGCATCTTGTCCCAGAACGCCTGCAGTGTGTGCCACACCAGGGTGCCAGGACTGCCCGGGCAGAAGGGAGAGAAGGGGATGCCAGGAGTGCCAGGACTGGAAGGGATGCAGGGTGTGAAGGTATGACCAGAGAAATGTAAAGTGCTCTAAGATTAATCTGTCTGTAAAATGGGAACAGAAACATCATATAACACAATAAGTGATGGGGTGCATAATGTTTCTTGCTTAATTTTCTAAAAACTAAACCATTGTCTTTCCCAAAGGAAGCTTCTATAAGCATGCTGAGTCTTTCTTTGGGGTTTTTTTTTAACCACAGCTTGTTCAAGTGCTTTGAAGTGGGTTGTTTTTTTATTTTTACAAAATGTTCATAAAGTCTGTGTTTAAATATTAAAATAATCCGTAAGCCTTTCTGTAATTAGACATTTATTGTTCCTATTCCATCAGAGGCCTGAAAAAATTTGAAAGGCACTGTAGTTTAATTCAGTGATTTTCTTCATGTTTCTGTTTCTGTAGGTAAGGATAGCATTACTGACCTATAACTACTCTGAAACCTAAGGAGTCACACAAAATATAACCAAGAATTATTAAAGAAATGTGATATCCAGAGGACAAACCTTTTAGAAAGTACTTCATTTTTCAGAAACTATACCTTAAGGGAATGGTATAATGGGATGATGGAATGACCTAATGGGATGAAACTCAATGTGAAAAGGAGTTCATTGAAATAAAACTTTCAGTGAACCGAATATGAAGAATGATAAAAAACAATAATCAATAGTGTGTCTTAGGACAGTGGAAAACAATGATAAAGAGCTTTGTTCTTCCTTTGCACAGGGGGAGCCGGGTTTACGAGGTCCACTGGGAAACCCTGGGAGAGAGGGGCCAAAGGTAGGAAGCTCTTCATGACCTTTAGCACGTCACAGCCGGGTCATTAGAATACAACAAAGCCAGGACATATTACAGCAGAGGGGTCCTTGGTGCTGAGCAGTATTAACACTGCTCTTTTCCAAATGTAGTTTCTGGGAACACACTCTGTTTTTCCATAGTGTCTTCATGACAAATCCCCCAAATTTGGTAGCTCAGCATGGAGGATCTGCCCATACAAACCCCTCTTTTGTATGGGCAGATCCCATGCAGTAAAACTCTTTTATAATGGGAATTAGTAGGAGGTGGGACCAACTCTGATTTAAATTGTCTTCTCAACCCTAATTTGTACCGTTTCTTGCTGTCCTTTTTCCGTTTCATCCCTTTCAGTTAGTGTTAGTGGAATTTCACTCAACTTTTTTGGTCACACTTGGCCACACCCACTCTACTGCCTTTCTTTACCAACAGGCTGACACAACTATGACTGAGGCTGCTACCCTTAGAGAGTCCTCCCCTTGTTATCGATGACTCCTAAACAATACACCCTGAAACCCCTCCAATGACCAGATGTCTCAGGGTCTAGCTTGTACTGAGCTAGACCACCTCCATCTACTCTCTGAACCATTATGTAGGGATAGATGAAGCCAATGCCCTAATAACCTTATGCAAATCTGGGTAATTCATTTTCTCCCTGTTTCTGTTGTGTCTTTAAACCATACTCTGGTAGCCTAATCCAGTTTTGTCACGCCAGAATTGGTTGCTCTGTTACATATCCCTCCATCCACTCAATCTTACAGACGATGCATCAGTTGCCATGAGGCAATGCGCCCTGGACAAAACATCAATGTTAGCATGTTGAGACCCTGTGCAATTCTGGATGGTGAAATGGAACAGATCCAGAGCTAAGTCAAGTCCAGATTGGCAAGATATTTTGCTTTCTCTAGTATTTCTATAAGCTTGTCTACTTGGGGCTTCAGGGAATGAGTCAAATTTAGATATTTAGTTTGATTTCTAAAAATTATTACAAAATCACCAAGTCCCTGCCAGCTTTGATATAAACACTATTGGACTAGTCGAGGGACTGCAGCATTCCTGATAACCCCTAGATCTTTCATCCTTTTGACTTTCTTTTATTCTTTTTTTCTGGGCTTGGGACTGTAAGGAGTTTTGTGGATTATCACTCCAGTGAGCATCACCATATCATGGTCAACACATTAAGTCTGACCTGGAAGGAGACTGAACCTTGTCACAATCTGGCTTAATAAACGTTTCTGTACTGGTCTGTCTTGAGTTTGGGAGAAATCTGGATGGAACCATGAAGCTAATCTGCAGCTCCTGTTCCTCTGGAAACCCTCTGACAGGCTTCCAATTTCCCACTCTCTCAGGACACTAGAAGGGCGTTAGGGTGTTTCCATGTTGGTACTTATCTCTACCAACATACTTGGTTTTACAACTCCCTGCCTACATTCAGTCTGAGTAGCTACAATTTTGTTTATTTGTTTTCTGGACTGAAGGACACAGGACAGACTTTTCTCTTGCTTTTTCTGCCCTTCTTTTCTGCCTTTGGGTTTTTCTTTCCTTACTGCTAGGAATCCCAAATAGTTTGTCCAAAAAAAGGATACAAGTTCTCAAACACTTTCTGAATGGTTTTCCTCTCCATGTGGTGTTTTCTCCATATCATTTTGGAAAAATATGGGAAATACGTCACTCTGATCACGTAGTGGGGTAAAATATTCACCACAGTTGTTCACATTGTGTACTGTAGTTAATTTGTACTGGAGCAGTAGTAAAAGCTAATACCTCACATCTCCATGAACACAGGAGACTCCTAACTTCAGGATAGGTTTAATTTGTTTTTGGTCTATTTCTGTGGAAGCAACAACCATACTGCTCAGGAAACTCAGTGTCCAGTACCAGTCCCTGAGTGTGACACTGCAGTCCATGGGTTCGAGAGTGGTGACACCTTGTGGACAGTTTGCAGATAGTTGACCTCATTCTCCACACACATAACACTGATTTTCCCTATTCTGCGGGGAGCTCCTTGTGAACTCTGAAGTTCTTGAGACACCCCTCTCCACATTCCCTGACTTAATATCACTTCAGATATTCTAGTAGAACTAGTAAACGTTGTTTTGGGGATTTCCAGATGAAGGATGCAGATACTTTTGCCAAATTTTGCCATGTTTGTCACTATTTTTTAAGACAAATACATTCCATAGTCAGATAAACCCACTTCCCCTTTACGATTCTTTGCTGCAATGTGGTTCTCTAACAGAAAGCTTTCTGAGTGGTCCCTTGTTCTACACTATGCCTTAGATCAAGGGGTAGACTCCTGAGGTACTGTATGTATCTAAGATCAGTAGCTCAACAGCCTCTGCTGTTGAGTTCACTTCAGACTGAAGTCATTTTTTGACCAGATGGATCAGATCAAACATTTGAGAGTGGGCAGATTTGCCCGTACATGAATGGAAAGTCAAGCTCTAACTAAGATCCAAATCTGGCTTCTCTGTTTAATCTTTTAAAGATTCAAACGCTTAACAGTGGTGTTTTTTTTGCAATACAAAATTCTACAATTAAATACTTAAAACAAAAACAATAATACAACATATTAGCTAATCTGAAGCTACACATTTCCCACTGAGAGAAGCCTGTGATTTACTCCCTGGCTCTTTTCTAGGGTGTAAAAGGTGAACGAGGGTTTTCAGGCCCAGCTGGAGAGAAAGGAGAAGAGGTATGTATTTAATTATTTTGTATTATTTTTATTTTATTTCTACTTTCTTCTTCATTTCCAGTCTTTACTTTCCTGACTTGCTGCGTAAAAGAAAAAAGGTCCTATTATGAAATTCCATACATTCACTGCACCACGATGCTCCCCTAATTATCAAATTGTTTATAATTAACTTATTGGAAAGTTCAAAGGTCCTGTAATAGAATGGAACCCAGGTGCCAAGGATGACTGCCGCTGTCATAGACCTGGAGTCCTTTAGCGGTGCCACTTCACAGGAGGAGTGCCAGAGGTTTGGATGGGTTTCAGTGGACCCAGGGCCTCACAGTGAAAATGGCAAATTTCCCTGAAAGTCTAGTTTTCTGTGCAGCATAATAGATAATATCAGTAGTGAAAAAAATAATAAAAAGAAAAAAGAATTGGCTATTCCAGATTTATTTAAAAATGACAGAAATATTTAGAACAACAGCTTGAATTTAAAAAAAAGTCATCCTGTTAATTTCTGGATTTCTGGAAAATCGAACATAAATATACTGTATATGTGCATCTACTTATAGGTTTTTCAAAACCGTAAACTTTTTTAGTAGAGATCATTACAGGTCATTGTAAAAAGGAAATTAAATATAGATATACTTTACAGCATCACCAATGTTCTAATGACGGTAGGAGTGAAGGCTGAAACAATAGTATTATATTTGCCACCGCAGGGCTCTCCAGGCGTTCCCGGATTCCCAGGCCCCACCGGCCGCACAGGAGCTCCAGTAAGAGTTTATGACCTCGTTTTCTCTGATCGTGCTCTCTTGTTCTGTAGACTGCTCTGGGATTAAAAACAGGCTCGGTATTGTTCTGTTTCAGGGCATCATGGGGAGACCTGGAGCTCCAGGCCATCCTGGGCCTAAGGGTGAAAGAGTGAGCACCTTCTTTCTCTTTGATTTTCTATTAGCTTGAGATGTAAAAATAATGAAGAAGATTTATTGCATTGCACCTGGTCTCGTTTTCTCTTTCAGGGCAGTGAAGGTCCACCTGGGAGACCAGGCGTGCCTGGACCTCCTGTAAGTCCTATGGAATCCTGTCCATGTGCTGTGCTCTCTTTTATCTCTGAGCAAACACAAAGCTGTCTTTCTCTTTCTTGCTTTCCTCGGAACAGTAAATGGAATAGCTGTATAAAGGCCTTTTCCACAAAACAACAGGCCCACTTTCAATGTTTGTAGAATGCTGAAGTGTACGTGTTCAGTTTAAAACAAATTATTTGTAGAAAATCTATAATCTGTAATTGCCCAGAAAAATTAAGGATCCTGCCTCCTAGTCAAAATGCACATATTCTTGTGGAACCAGTAAGCAGACATTATTGAAGCAATAATGACACACATGAACAGCTGACCTTACCATTCCAAAAAAGACCACTTTTTCCACTTAGCAATGCTTTTATTCACCTCTTGCCAGCCTTTCATCAATAGCAGAAAAACAACATAGGATCCTCATGCCTCTCAGCTCATGTGTCTAGTACAAATAAAGTTTCTTAGATAGGAGTGAATTTACTAGACCTCTGATGCAAAATAAAAAGAGCCTTTTAGCCTATCACATCTTCTGCTTAAATAAATGACATGCATCTTCTTTTTAGCAATATCACTTGCACTGTATCTAAAACCCAGCATGGTCATGCCAATAGTGCGATCATTTCTTCTTGCTGTTTACCACCACACCCAGAGTATTGATCTGTACCATGTCATATCAAAAATCCTTGATCAACGCAGACTTGGTGTATGCATATGGATTTTTGTCATTTTATTCATATGCATTGTACTCTGTTGTTCCGTACAGCATTTTGCCATTTTCTAGGCAGTAAACTCACTGTGATTATTTTAATTTCAGGGTATTCCGTATGTGGAAGGAAATGGCATGAGCAGCCTCTACAAGCTTCAGGTACAATAATTTTTCTGGCTGAACATGGTGGAGCTTAAGATGCTCTGTGACACAGCAGTCAAACACAACCTGAATCCTGTTTTGTACAGGGAGGCGCTGGACCTATGGGATATCCTGGTCCTCCAGGTGTTCCAGTAAGTAAGGCTTTTCATTTATGATTAATTTTGCTATAGAAAGAAAATGCATACAACTATCTCAATATGCAAATGTCTTAACAAGTAGATATTAACTGTCTATGCATACATTTCCAGGGCCCTAAGGGTGATAAAGGCGAAGCAGTAAGTTTTATTTTCATGTGTATAATATGTGATTGCATTCAAAATGAATATGTAAAATGTGCTGTAGAAATCAAAGTATCAAATATTATGTGATGCTTCAAATGTTACAGTATACAGCCAAATTTGACATTTGCTGTTGAAACAAACATTGTAATGTAAGCTCAAACCCTGTGTCATTACTGAATCGGAGCATGCCTTTTCACCATTTTTATTAATTTGACATTTAAATAAATTGCCTGTGCAGCACATTGCCACTGTGGAATTCACAGGTCAAATTCACATGTAATGGTTGCTATTCCATTTCCATAATATTTCAGAAATAAATGTTTAAAAGTGTGACAGTTACTGCTGGTATAACTTTAATAGGATTGATTTATTGCATGTAGCATGCAATTCATTTTTGCGGCACATTCTAGAGGAACATGCAGAGTCCGAGGAGCTCCTGCTCTTCTGTCTGTGTTCTCTCAGTCGTGATGCTCTGAAATCCTGTTTGAATCAATATTGTATTCATCAGGGAGAACCAGGCCCCATGGGACTGCCAGGGTTAGAAGGACTGCCAGGGGCTAAGGTAAGCAATTAGAAAAAGTCAAATCTGTCTCAGGAAAAGTGTTCACTGAACCCTACTGTCTGGATGTGACCATTTCAAGGACCATGTTTGTAGTCGACTGACTGGCTTTAGTTAGCCTGGGTTTGCACTAAGTTTGATGGGCAGTGATTTTGAATGCATTGAGCTCCTGTGAGTTTGAAGTGACTCCTCCAACGGACTCGAGTCTATGACATGAGCGTGCATGGAGGTTTCAGGAGAATGGCTGCCACAAGATTGTATCCGCAAATGCTGATCCCCAGGGAGTCATGATATAATTGGAGAAAAAATTAAGTTGTGTGAAAAATCTAAATTATTTGTTGTCCAACTTTTACCAGAAAAGAAAAAGTAAAATATCTGCTTTTTTATAACAAAGGTGAAAAATAGACAATTACTTATTCTATAAACTTACAAAGATAACCACAAATTAATAAAAATTGATTGTGCAGCACCTGCTTGTTCATTTCCACAGGGTACTGAGGAACATATTAATTGATGTTGTTCTTCTAATATTTAATTTAATCCTCAGCCTACAAGAAGAAGCAAGACATATAACTGGCAAAAAGCAGAGTTAATTTAAACTAGGCAATTCAGTTCCTCACCAGGCAAATGGAGTAGGCAGCAGTGTGGAGGAGGGGGTAGGGTTGTGGGTTAAAATCCAAAATGAGACGCTTCTTTTGTACACTTGAGCAGTGTACTGTTCCTGAACTGTTGTAGTAACAAATGTGGCTGTTTCAGTGGGTGAAAATGTAAATTCTCTTTGGACAGTCAAGGATCACCCAAGTAAGTTAGTAAATTAGTGGCTAATCTTAATACAGCTATTGCAAAAGAGGAAGTCCAATCATTTTCAAACTCAAAACAAACGCGTGAGCACAATTACCACCAAGTTGAACCTTGGTCTAAAATGCCCGTGTTGTCTGTTCAGGTTGATGCCACTGGGCCAAGGAAATTAAAGCTTTTTACAAAAGAGGGGTGTTTGGTAGCTCATCTTTGCACTGGAACATGTGCACTACTAGATGGTGTTACCTTATGCTGAAATGTGGCACTTTATCGTGTATTTCAGGGAGATACAGGTCTAACAGGAGCACTGGGTGAACCAGGAACACCAGTGAGTACAGAAACACCTCTGTTTTTAATGACAGTCCTGTCAGTAACCGAGATGACTGAAAAGAGAGTTTCTAATCAGCACATGACTTTCTTCCATTCTCCAGGGAAAGCCTGGTACTCCAGGGAGTCCAGGGCTCCCAGGAGAAACAGTAAGTCTTCGTTTCTCTCTTCAGCCTGAGTTTTATTGTTGGTGTTCCTGTCTCGTGACACAGACAGTAAATTGTGTTAATTTTAAAAGGGGGAAAGAGGACCTGTGGGAGAAACTGGATTTCCTGGGCCGGAGGGACCTCCTGGTGCTCCAGTAAGGAATTAATTTTATTATTGGCAGAACATGATTTCTCAATAATTTGTTTTTGGTTCTAATAGACAGCAAACTGCAATGGAAACAAAGTATCAGTGAGTACAGTGTGTATCTGTTATATGGTTTTCTAACAAGTTCATTTTTTGTTTTTTAATCATTTATTTTACAGAGACAGAACTTGGTTAATGTGGAGTATCCATCTCCAAGATTATTAAACCTATGTGATAACATAACCACCTGTATTAGCGTAGAGCTAAATGTCTGTCACATTGTTTTTGTAGAACAGTTTCACCTACTTTAATGTACTGTAATGCTTGTTATTAGTTTCTGAATTTCATTTAATATATATTTTCTTTTTAAATCTGACAGGGAAGACCAGGAAAAGATGGGATTCCGGGGTATGAGGTCAGGACAGAGTGGACTTTTATTTTGTATTTAGAAACATTTACCATTTCAGCAATTTGTTGCCCATTTCCTGTCAGTACCCTAGTAAAAGTGAAAGAAGTATTATCAAGAAGTAATTTTTTTCTTGGTATTTGCTGCGCCTCTAACAAATGATGTCAAAATGACAGATCTGAAGTTTTTCTCAAATTAGAACCTAAATCAATCGGTTAATTTGACTCCCACTGACACAAAATACACTTTAAGCTGTCTTAATATGGGAAGCCAAATATTTCTGGTTATGCACTTAATGTGTTGGTTTTGACCATCAGACACTGCTTGAAGGCAGTTTTATTGGAGTTAATAAATGGTAAATATAAATCTGATACTTACTATATACAATTACATCACAATGTCCCAATCATACTGTATCAGTGACATACATAATTTCGCAAAAATTAAAACATTATTGATTATTAAAAATGAACACAAATTAAAAATACTGGCCCTGGTCAAAAGTTGTTAGTCTAAACAGATTTGTGGATTTACTGTATAAAGGAGTTGATGTGTTCTCTATGTCCTTATCACCTTAGTAAAGTCCAACAGAACATCCAGTGTTAATGCATATTTTATATCTTAAACATTGCGTCTTTTCTGTCGATAGCTGTTAAGCCTATAGAGAAATTCTTGTATTATACAATACAATATAATTAATGACACAACAGTGCCATCTAGCAGGTCAATCTTATAAAAGTCCAAAATACGATGTAACAGACCCCTAAGAAAAATATTTCCAGATAGTATACTGCATATTTGAATCTGTCATTCATTATGGGAAATTAATGTTTTAAGACAAATGAAAGTCCGCAACACAGATTGTGTGCAATGCAGTGACATTTTAGATAGTTCAAGCTATGGGAAATATATTTTTTAATTTATATGGTCATCATCAAAATTCTAAATATGATGATGTTGTGGCTCCAACCCACCCCCTCAAACAAAGCAATTGAAAGCAGTTGGGGAACCTGGACGCACCTGTGACTTGAGACTGTAAATTGGCTGTGCTTTCAAGAGGACTGTTCTGCTGGCTCTCATCCAACAATCAGTCTGCATTCTCTGTGCTGAAATGGTTTATTGGGAAAAATAGGAAAATATTGAAATTGTTTTAAAGATGCATTGGGTTTTATCAAGCTATGGGAATTTTATTGGATTGTCTAACTATTGGAAAATTAATTATTAAAAAATATTGTTGGTATTTTTGCGTCATGCTGCATTGCCTTATAAATCAACAGCTTTTTGGTCAGGGCAGTGGCAGATGTAGCCCAGCCATCAGCACTATATCAAACTCTTTTGTTTTAATACTGTAATTAAAATACAGGCTTCAGGCAGTACTGAGAATCTGCACATGTGACTTATAGCAATTCGCTCTGAGTGGATTTGGAAATGATGGGAGAGGCGGACCGAGTCTTTGAACAAAGCAAGTGTGTCTGTGCAGGAACAGAGAGTGTGAGTGGTGCCTACAGCCACTTGGCTCAGTCTAATATCAAATACCCCATTATTCACCATGGTCTGTAGTGAGGAGTACAGACCTGGCTTTCACACCCAAAGTTTAAATTGTCCAAATCTGTGATGTCATAGTCATTTTTTTGTCTTACAGGGAGCTACAGGTAGACCAGGAGACAGAGGATCGAAAGGAGAACGTGTAAGAGATCAACATATAAAATATAAAGGGGCTGTTACATACAAAATACAATAATCCTACACATAAACATCTTCATGTCAGTGAATAATTGAGCCTGGTGCAAGCGAAACATCAGTGACTTGAAAACATGCTACTTTAGCAATGCAAAGAAAACAAAACCCAGACAGATCAAATAATGTACTACATTTTGAATTCCTGCCTCTGAAATCCATAGGCAGTTTCATGTTTTGTATTCCAGTGTTCTAAAATATTTTAATATTCTGTTTCTTGTAAGAAATCATATTTACAGTAAATATAATATATAAATACTGTAATACTATCACCAGTATGTTTTATTATTGATTTACTATAACCATTGACTTGCTAGTTAGTATATAGATTGACAACCTATTCTTTAAAACTGTGGAGCTTGTATGTCACCAAGTTTAATTTCTTTGGAGATCTGCTGAATGTTGGAGATGTGACCTGAAGCTGAACTGTGACTTATAATAACTTTCTGTTGGGGTTCTGTGTTTCACAGGGAGACCCAGGCATTCCTGGGGTGCGAGGGCTTCAGGGAGAAAGAGGGAGACCCGGAGAAAAGGGGGACATGGGGCCCAGAGGACCAACTGGGCCACCAGGACAAAGAGGTGACCCAGGGCCCCCAGGACCTCTGGGGTCCCCCGGCCCTGCCGGCCTTCTGGTATGTGGGAAACCGAGAAGGCTTGTTTCGCTGCAGATCAAGGCATGAAGAACTCCTCCGACTATGATTACTGATAGCAGTGCCATAGAAAAATGGGGACGTTCAGATCTGGGGTTTAAATTCCACTTATTTTTTCTTTTTCGTAGTGTTTTCTGGTTATTGATTCCTTCCCACCTTGAGAAATAATGAGCACACAGCCAAATGTCAAAAAGTCCACATTAAACATTTGAAAAACCGAGGTCAAATGGATGCACACTACATACTGTACTCCAATATATACTTTGATTATTATTTAAAAATCAGTCTACACAACTGTTTTATAGAGCCAGCTCCTTAACCTGCAGCATTCCATTTGAGAGGGAGATATCATTCGTTTTAAATTGGAAGAACCATAACTGCTTATTAGAACCATCTAGTTATTTAAGTTACAATTAAGATTCCCCAAAATAAAATCAATACTGATATACAACTCTTAACAATCAATTCGCATTTATACAAAAGGTTAAGATCTTATTCTGTTTTCAATCCATATGGTATTAAAATATTTGAATAAAACATCCAGAAATATTCTCCTTAGAAGAATACTATCTATATCACCACCTCTCCTCTGGAGATGTGTACTTTTTCAATGCCTATATACAGTATCTAAGGGAGGAAACCATGTGACTCGCTTAAGCAAAATGAGATGTTACAGGATGTGTCACATTCCAACATCTGCAGCAATACAGCTTTAATGTTCAGAAGTGTATTGCTTATGGTAACTTATGGCAACACCTAAGTTAAAATCTTTCTTTCATTTCCGACTCTCCTTTCCAAATTTAACATAGTTGGCTGTAAAGCAAACTGTTAGGAAATCTCAACACTCAAAAAAGTATTATGGTCTTTAAGATTTGTGTAGTCCTCAAATCTACAGTATATACAATGAATTTTTTTTAACTTTTTCAAACTAAAAATGTATAAGGTATACAATGTATAATAATGAAATTGTCCCAGTTTCTGAACATCTCCTCCCAGAAAACAAGAATGTAATCAATATATCTTGTTCAAAGTGTAATTTTAGGCAGAAAGGGATTCACATCTCAATTTTTTATCAATTTGTCTTTCCAAAAGTCCACATATAAATATATGCATAATTTGATACCATGGATGAACCCATGGTGGTACCCTTAATTGATTAAAAATCATAATTAGGTGCAAGAGTAAATTCTGCCATTAGAAAACGAGAAATAGTACTGTAAGTCCGTTGGGGAGAAAGTATTCAAGAGCCTTTAAATCACCCATATGAGGTATGTTTTGAAAATGTCTACATCAAAAGTGAAAAAAAAAAGTCCTGTAACATATGGGTTTATAAAGTATTCCACAAAAAACAACAAATTAGAAGTGAAAGAGTCAATTCCATATATATATGTATTTAACTGATGCTAAATTAGTGTGCATACAGTGGAACTTTTTTTTGATATTATTTTCCTGTCTTAATGCTCTTCTTCTGATGTTTGATCTAGAAATACATTTTTAATTATATTCAGAGCAGTTAAACAGAGATGATTTTGGAGAATGTAGATACACTTTCACTGATCTAATTTGAAATACAATAAAAATACAAACATAAAAATAGGTATTTCAAATATTAACCATTCAACATTTAATTTTAAAAGAATATAATGGCTCTAGAACCTTCTCTAAAATAATAATATAAATAAACTTTGTATTATTTACAAACAATTTTCCAGCTTTGTGATATTCAGGGTGTAACACAACTAATTGTTTTTATTTTGAAAATATGCACCAAGATGAAGTTCACAATTTCTTTATTTTCTACTCAGTGTGAGTCACAGTTGTTCGCACTTCAAATCTGTTTATAGAATTAATTTAAAGGTCATCTTGTTTCTCGTACAGTATGTTTCCATATTGCCTGCCTGCCTCCCATATTGTACCTGATCACATTCTATCAAGTAGAAAATTACTTTTTTTATTATTTAGCAAAATTGATTTGCAAATGTCTGTTGCAGCCCCAGGCTATTTCAGTAACGTGTCACTAGGGAACAGGAGCAGTCTGAGTGAAGGAGCACTTTCAGTGCTGCTGCCTCAGCTCAGGATTCATGCTCTTCCTGTCCTTCAGGTCATGTCCAGCTCCAAGTTTTCAGAAGCAGCTTCTGTAAGATTTTATGTATCTTACTGGTTGTGTATCAGTTGGATTAAATTAGTGAGATTTATTTTAAAAGCCACACCAGTGCGCAACAGTTTTAGAGACATCCATTATATACACTGTTCTCTTTTTTGTAAATGTTTTTTTATTTCTTATGTGCAATTTTAAAAATTTCCCTATTTCAGAGTGATGAGGGTACATTGGAGGAAATAAAGAGATTTATTCGAGAAGAAGTTCTCAGGGTTTTTGAAGGTATTTTATTTTATTTACTTTTTACAAATACATATAATTTCACACCCCATATAAAAGAGACATGTCTATAAATATTCTCTTTGGTTTTGTGTTGCAGAGAGGATGTCTGGCTATTCTCCACAGCAGAAGAGTCCCGCTGCTATCCTGGCTGCTCAAGGAAGACCAGGACCCTCAGGTCCACCTGGCAGTGATGGGTCACCTGGGCCACCAGGTGTGCCTGGTCCTCCCGGACCTCAAGGTAGGGGGCATCAGTTGCAAGTGTTAAAGCTAAGAAATTGTTCAAAGCAATAATTTTATATGTTATTCCACTGTGGGTTTTCAGTGATGCCATCATGATCTGTAGCTGAATACTCGTATTGCTTAGAATGTAACGCCCAGGTAATTCATGTGGTTAGTATTGTTATCCTAGTTTTTTCCTAGTGTTTGAATGATTTCTTAGCCTGCACCCTTCCCTTGGCCTCTATTCACATTGAGCAGAATGGGCCCTGTTCTCTGTTTGTCACACTGCTATGGGCATAGAGGTTTAAATCTCATACCCATTTGGAACACAGAGAGCTGAGACATGAAAAGCAATGAGGCCAAACAAGAATACAAGTCCAGGAATATGGATAAGAATCAGGTCAAACAATAGGCTAAAGAAGTTGGAAAAAAGAGATCCTAGATTATTGGGGGAGCTGAGGAGATTGTGACGAAGGGAAGCAGAAAACAGAACATTTCTATACAGACCTCAGGAAAACTCCAGTGAGATTAATGACAGCAAATTCCCATTTCATAGCAAGGATTCACAGTTATTATATTTTGCTAGCTGAAAATATGGGCTTGATCTGAGACCTGAGCAAGATGTGGATTGCACAGCAAGAGAACATTGCCAAGCAACACTGGCTCAAGAGAAATATAAAGACAAATGAAGAATTGGCTGAGAAGAAGGGAATGGAATATCAATGTGGACAGATCTGAGAACACAGTCTACAATATCTCACTCGGTGGGACAAGCTTCCTGTAGAAAAAGGAAAATGTTATTCTCAGAATAGCCAAGGATTTATCGAACTCTTCTGGCTTCCTGGCTCTTAATACAACCTCTTACATCAATAATAATTTGCTGTTTAGATTTTAACTTCCTTTGGAATTAAAAAGCACTTGTGTACATGTTAGGATTCCCAAGCAGTCCAGCAAGCTGTGTTATACTAGCTATACTGTATATCACGTTTTGTGATTTTAGTCTTTCTGTCTTTAAGTGATACTGTATATATTTTATCCACCTACGTTTTTTCAGTATAGGGACTGTTACGATTCAATCTTACTCAGCAGACAAAATTAAGTTAAATTGAATGAATAGTTGTGAAAATCAAATGTCTAAGTTAAAGTTAAAATTGGTAACCTGTGGTGTGTAACATTTTCTTACTGCTCCTTGTTTTTAGATAATTGCAATGCTTTTGGTATTCTGTCTAAGTACAGAGTTTTGCGGCCCATTAATCAATTCAATTGGAAACCAGACTGTATAATATGTTACTGAAGAAATTTGAAGTTGTGCAGAGAATTTTCCAGCTGAAGTTATTTTATGTAATTTATGCACTGTATCTTACCGTAGTTCAGAATCCAGAAATACAGAATTTGTTCACTAGATATATATAATTTGTTCACTAGGTGCTCCTCTTATTAACATTATGCGCACAATTCATCAAGATTCATCTAACCACTGTTATAACCATTAGCTTTCCAGAAACTCAGTTTCATTTGACACATTAAAGCCATTATTTGATTGAATAGATACATGTGCAGAACACTTTTCTCTTAATAATAACAATAATTAATTGCATCCATATATAAACCTTTTTAGCCCAGAGCACTGTTCAAATAGGAAGGAATCCATTCAATCCAATACTCAAGGCAGTCCCTACCTGGCAGCCATTATGCCATTATAATCCAGCTGCGCCACTGTAAAGCAGATAAGGTAGAGAAATGAGAAATCACTCCCTGAATTGGTGGAGAATTTAAAGGAGGCTACATTGGGTAGAGTGCCATGGGATCTGAAATGCCTAAGTAGTCAAGACCATAATTTAATCTCACCCAAAGTATGGCGATTTTAGAATTGTGTTTCAGAGAAAAGACTCCTACCATCTGGTCCATGCAAAAGTAACTTGATTTTCCTTAGAGGTCTCCCTCTAAGTTATTTTTAAAATGTTATTTTAGAAACCTTGAGGAGTAACCTACTTCCAGTACATTTGCACTTGGAACAAGACAGAACTAGAAAACATGCAAATAATCAAGCATTTGTTGATGCACTAAATCTAGATATCATTTAGTTCTGCACATTCTAAACATGGTTCAAGGAGCAAATCACGTGATCACTCTTCTGTACAAATGGAAGGATGGTTATACTGTATATACAGTATAGTATTTTATATACAGCATGAACAGGTTATGAATTATTCTTGCCCTTGGTTCTGTGGATGTATTTTGCTTGTATGCCTTTATTAATGACTGATTGCTTGACATGTGTGGTAAGTATGCAAATGCCATTTTATGCCATTTTCTGGGTGTGATTTAGGGAATAAGAAAACAGTAAAGCATGTGTGTGCTTGAAATTTAGAGCTGAAATTGTATTATCCTGATCACATTCTGTTAGTTTTTTTGTTTAAAAAATAAAAATATTTTTAATTAGAGAAAAATAAAAAGAACTTAGTATATCTCTTTTGAATACGGAGAAAAAAAACACAGCATTAGAAATATAAAATAAAAGTTTGAGCCCACAAAACAGAATTTAGTTTAGGTATGATACAAAAGATATCAATGTAAACAAAGTGTAATATACTGTTATAAAAATAATTATTATGAAATAGTTATATGTGTCTACAGTTTAACTGCTACTGTATATTCCCGCTTTTTTAATGTTGAAAAAGTCATTTTGTTGAGTGATACTCCAGACTTCCAAATCATACCCATACTCATGTTGGTTATGCAATGAGCGAGGTCCAGACAACATATCAGAAAGTAATAATCTTATTATCAATATTTTAATATCTTTCCTTAAGATTAATGTGGATCGGACATCTTATGAAAGGGTAAAGTGTAGAGAATGAGATATTTAAATGAGCTAATTGATCATTGATCATTGCGTTCATATACTGGCCAGAAGACTCAAATGCTTTCACATGATCTATCAACTAACTGTTCAAATTAATTTAGTTACTGCGGAGTACCTAAGCAAACTTCACCATGCTTACCCTTTTGTATTGTGAGGTGCAAACCCAGGAGCTTATCTTTAATTTTTTAACATTCTGTGCTCTCCCTCTTTATCTAGGGTATCGTGGTCAGAAAGGAGAAAGAGGTCAGCCAGGGATTGGACTTCCAGGAGAATCTGGTCCTCCTGGCCCACATGGTAAGCAGTGACAGCTTCTCAAGAGTCATCAAGCACACTGTCTCTAGTCCTGTTGAACATAAGGTTACATAATGTTGATACACCAGCAAAAAATGTTTTAGGGTTCCTATGTGGAGTTGAGAGACAGTCAGAAAGATTGAAGGAGAAGGATAATCAAGTTCAACGATCCGAAACGTCAGGCAAAGTCTTGGTCGAAAACAATATCCAAAAGTCAAAACCAAAGATGTAGTAGGAGGTGAGAAAGCGAGGTTACGAAGGCGAAGTAGGAGCTCTCAAGAGGAGAAACTAATACTGAGCACAGAGCGCTGTGAAGGGAGGGCTTAAGTATGCAGTGAACTGCTGATGATATCATGAAGAACAGCAAGAGGTGATTAGTTAACTCGTGGGTCCTCAACCTTTTTGCTCTTCTCCTTTGCTGGTGTCCAACTGGTGTGGTGTTGGCCCCTTAACTCTCTCCCCCCAAATGTCCCCCAGACATTCATATTCAGTTCATCAAGTTCAATTTAATTTTGAGTCTTGCATGTTTCTTATTCTTATTTCTCTTAGTGCTTTTATCAGTTAGCCATTCTGCCTGTTCATCGATAAACAAGTTAATCACTCCTGCTTCCTGTTGTACTTCTGTGTTGGTGTAGATGACTTCAGGCTACACTTTATGGGTTGGTGTAGCATCTCCCGCTGCCCACAACAGAAATCCTGTCTCTGTGTATCTAGAATTTGCTGTCTCTCTGAGCTGAATTGCATTTCATTGCCTGTATCATAGGCAGTTCTCATTGAGGCTACACTACATGATAGGGCCAGCAGCCATATCACCCAGCAACTCACAACTGGCAACCCACTGAAGCTAAGCAGGTGTGAGCCTGGTCAGTACCTGGATGGGAGACCTCCTGGGAAAAACTAAGGTTGCTGCTGGAAGAGGTGTTAGTGGGGCCAGCAGGGGGCGCTCACCCTGCGGTCCATGTGGGTCCTAATGCCCCAGTATACTGCTGGGGACACTATACTGTAAACAGGCGCCATCCTTCGGATGAGACGTAAAACCGAGTTCCTGACTCTCTGTGGTCATTATAAATCCCAGGGCGTTTCTCGAAAAGCGTAGAGGTGTACCCCAGCATCCTGGCCAAATTTCCCATCGGCCTTTATCAATCATGGCCTCCTAACAATCCCCCTTTATGAATTGGCTTCATTACTCTGCTCTCCTCCCCACTGATAGCTGATGTGATGTGAGCGTTCTGGCACACTATGGCTGCCGTCGCATCATCCAGGTGGATGCTGCACATTGGTGGTGGTGGAGGGGAATCCCCATAACCTGTAGTGGAGTGTCCTGAAAAGCATTATATAAGTGTAAGCAATTATTATTATTATTATTATTATTATTATACATTTTCTGAATACTGTTCCTCTGAATCCTTGTACAAGAGATTTGACCCACTTTATATTCATCATCTGTTTGCATTATTTCTAATTTGACCAAATTGCTGAAATGTAATTGTTAAACAAAAGTTTGGAGGTTGTATTTTTTTAGGTCTAAATATTTTGCCTTCTGAGCACCTCTTGTAACCATTTTTCATACCCTTAGCCCTCCACTTCATCTTCACACTTGCACCTGCCTCCCTAGTTCATTCTTTACAATTCAATTTATGTAGTTACTGTTGATTTTCTGTCTGAATAAAAATATTTTTTGTCATGTTTTTTTCTAGTTTTGTGTCAGGTGGTTGTGCAGTGTGATTGATTGCCAAGCTGTAGCTGACATGAAGTACTGAACACATCTGTATAAAAAATAATCTAGTGAGAAATAATGTTCTAAGTGTTTAAAGACTAGATTTTTTACAAATTTCAACAAATTAAAATTAATCCTAGACCTGCAGAAAAAACTGAAAATATTCTTTCAGTGCATACTAGGTAAATGAGAATCTTGTTTGCCTGTTGAATTAAACATCATACACCTCCCTACCACTGGCAAGACTATTGAGAGATCAGGAGTTTAAAGATTTTTTTACCTGGATCCACTCCCCAGAAACAAAGAGAACCCTTTCTCCCCAAGACTGGCAGGGTGTAAAATCAAACTATCAGATCTTTGATTTTGTCTATTAATATTTTTTTAGAAGTGGCAAGAATATATGCAATTTAGGTAGCTTTTGCTTTCCAGCTACCTGTTCCTGGGGCATTGTTGTAAGTACGGTAAATTACCTCACCGTCAAAGTATATGAACAATTACATATTTGATGTTACTGCATATTCTGTGAAAGCTGTTTCTGGGATAGAAGATTAATGTCTATTCTGTGTTGAAATAAAGTGTGTCAATTCAACTATACTGAATGTAATAGCAAAATCACATTGGAGCTCAGACCAGGATATACAAGAAGCAGTTCCTAAGTATGGAGTAATCAGGATAGGTTCATCATTATATAAAATGACAGACTGCTTGATGAATCTTCATCTTGTGTGTCTTTTCATATTTCTTTGTCAAATTTCATTTATTCTGAAAAGTACAGCAACATATCTATAAGTCTATTTAATACCAGTGTATGAGGATTCGGTAAAACTGATTGCAATTGTAATAGATAAATGAAAATGAAAGAGTTTGATCCTCTTCATATCACTGTGGCGAGACTTGTGTGGGATGCCAGGGTACTTTCTGAGCAACGTGGTGACTGTGGCTTGTGTGCACTGAGAAACACACCCCTCTCTTCTCTAGGTTTGCCTGGAACAGGTCAGCCAGGACCTCCAGGATTACCTGGCCCCGCTGGCCCTCCAGGTCCCCAGGGAAGATGTGACCCTAGCGATTGTTACTATTCCTTATCCAGTTCCCGGCGGAGCGGCTAGGAGGCAAGTGGAGCTGCCCTGATTATTTAATGATCAATGAGCACTGAGGCACCGCAGCCCGGAGGCACTGTTACAGAGGTCCTCTTCATTATCTTTAGAGTTTAAGTAATGTGTTTGTGTAACATTGGAGCTGAGGTCAGAAAGTTATTTTTAGAAATAATGAAGTTATAAAACGTGTTTATATTCTTATTGTGTTTCTTACTGTAGTTCTTCTTGAAACCCTTTTGCCCCCAGAATGCATTCCATGCATGAGTGTGTACATTACAAAACAGACATTTGAGAAGAAATTTGGTAATGGTAATGTCTTAATTTTAACCACCTTAACCTGCAGGGTCAGCCTGCCTCTTTTTCTGTTTTTTTTTCCAATGTTTTCAAAGGGCAAAAGGTCTAAGCTAAGGCGCGTTGAATAATTTAAATTTTCTCTGTACTTTGCACAAGACTTAGAGCTGCAAAAAAAGTAAAGCAATTTAAAATGTTAGCTGTGCAGAGAGAGTAATATAGTTTGTAATGCCTTAATTGAACTGCTCTGAAGCTGTTCTGCCTGAAAAGAAAGCTTGAGAAATTCTTGGTGTAAATATTTTGACATTGTTTATTCGGGATTGGAGCACTGTTCCAGACAGCCTTGACGCTTGGAAACTGTATGCATTCATTTCATCACTTGCTGGACAGGAGTATTGCATGGCATTACAAGCTCTACAGTATATATTTGTGCTTGTAGTATATAATAGACCATAAACACTAGGGAGACCTGTTGTGTAGTCACTCAGTGTAAAAATATGTTTTTCAATTACTCTGTACCCAAATAAGAGTAGACATCATTGGTGTGGCTCTTGTTGTGCTCATAGGTAAATCTCACTACAATGACATTACAGTACATTACTGATTGTTTGTATAAGGACTGTACATACTACCGTTATACTGGTGCTATATGTATATTTTGATATTTCTGATTGAAAAAGATGAAAATCCTATGGGTAATCATTTACAGTTTCATTTTTTTTCTTCCATTTGAATAATGTACTTGAAACTTGTTGTATGATTATTGAAAAAAGAAGTTGAGGAAGGTGTCTTTAGTTTTTTAAACAACATAAATGGTACATTTAATTATTTTTTGCATTATCACACATACATGTTTGACAAGATAATATTTGCTCACTAGTCTTAAGGTTGGAATTACCTTTTTTTCCACCAACTTTCCCTGAAATGGAATTGTGTAAAACTTGGACTGATGGGAGATGATAAAGATATTTTAGTTCAAATATTATACAATTTTATTGAATTCATTAAATACATTGAATCTTTCAAATGTTAGAAATGACTAATTAAATGTTTTAACTGCAACTCTTTAAAGTGAATAAGCAACCAGCCATAGATGTAAATTTGTTTAATCTGATAATGACAGGAGCTTTTTGCTATTTTCAATGCTTTAACATGGAAACGCCTTAAGCCCAGTGCTGTATTCTTTCATTTTAAGAGGTCTGTTAAAATTGAAAAACCGTTGTTTTGTTTGTGTTAAGTCTAGAAAGTTATTGAAGTGCAACCAATTGATATTTCCAGATGTTCAGAATATTCATTTGGTGCAATTTCAGTGTGATTGATTTCTTTTTGGAGCAACACTCTTATGACTTTCTCATTATATTACATTTTAAATACTATAACTGTATCTGTGAAAATTTCCTGAAAACTATAACATACTGTAGCTTTGGGTTTGTTTGTTTGAAGTTTAGATACACTGCATTTGTTAGCTGGTGAATCGCCATGGTTTGCAGATTACTGTACACTATGGGAAGTAATTTGCACTTTGTAGTTTACTTGGTCATAAAAAAGAAAGGGGCACTATCTTTTGTTTAATATACGTGCAAGCTATTTATTGTTACTTCTTCATATGTTCAGTAGTAATACATGTAAATGAAGTACAATCAAGGCCTAACAGGGAGAACATTTTCAATGTTTAAAGGAATAACAAAACTTTACCCTAGTTTTACGTCACCACAGTGATAAGATGAAAACTACTATTTATATAATTTAGAATGTTTAGATGATGCAGGGGGTGGACAAAAAAGTGAAACCACCAAGAAAAATATGAATATTTTATGAATATATTATGAACTCATAAGGATTTGGGTTGCCCTTGCCCTTTAGAACAGCTTCAATTCATCTTGGAATATTGTAATACAAGTCTTGCACTGTTTCTAGTGAGATATTGGGTCATATCGGGCAGAGTGGTTATCGGACCCAAACAAGATGGTGCCTATACTGTAATTAATCCACCACCATGTTTAACAGTTGGGAACAAGCAGTGTCAGTTGAAGGCTTCATTTGGGTTTCGCCAAACACAAACCCATCCAGATGTAGGAAAAAGAGTAAAGACAACTCATCAGACCATGGTAATTTCTTCCACTACTCAAAAGTCCAGGTTTCTTTACAGCTCATTAGTGCTGCTGACAACTATCCTCTTAAGATTCCGTTTTTTCCCTGTCGGTGAGCTTTGACTTGCAACCACTATTCCTCCTCTTTCCTAGTGCTGTTTTCACTTCATGTTTGGTGTGTGATGGCATCATGTTTGACACTGTTCCCGTTGACAATTTAAATGATTTTGCCATTTATGTGACTGACACAGTCACAAATTTCAAAGTCATAGATTTAATTTAGTTACTTCATAATACAAGTCATTTTGTGCTACTGTAGGTGTTTCTATTCTTTTGTTCATCCCCTGTACATTTACCCCCAAAAAGTGTGAAAGGAGGTAGAGAGTTTTAATTTACAAACATACTTTTACTGCATCCTTTTCAATTGCTTTAATCAGAACATTGTACAGTTCACAGGTCACCTGTCACTACTGGTTTTCTTTTCACAAATAAGGAATCCCAATTCTTGGGAATTTTACTGTAAGACAGACAATATATAATATGATTGCAAAAAGGATAATTTCAATAGCTGATTACAAATTGTCCCGAAAACTATATATTTTGCAAAAGAAGTCGCAGCCTTTTGTCCAAAGGGGATTTTTATGAGATCACAGTGTTGCTACTGTTCTCTTTTGTATCATCTTCATAGTTTCACAAACAAACCCAAAATGTTGCCAGAAAAGGACCTCTTGTGGTCAGTTTTAAGCAGTAGCCTTTGTATTTAATATCATACTTAAAATCATTACTTATGCTGGAAAATACATAACTGAATGCTCTCTGAATCCCTGTAAGTGACAGATTATGTCATGACAATGTTCAAAGATGTTCTTTGTTAAGTCATAGATTCAGATTTTGCATCTTTTTTGCATGCTGTAAAACAGAGTGGAAGCTAAGATTTTCCCTCAAACGGCTGGTGCTGCTGTCTTTATTAACAGACTGGATCTTTCTCTTGTGGGCAGCACTCTAAGCAGCCTGTTCTGATTTGTTGTAGGAATTGTTTGACTGAGTGATACACTTTGACAATACAGACTGAATTGGTTTAGCAAAGGCCTTTATTTCATACAAGATTTTTAGTCCATATTTATGGATTCTTTGTGACCTGTGTGATGTAAGTGATGATTGTTAAGGGTGTTTAGTTTTAACACGGATATTTAAAAACATGTTATTGAAACAGCAACAGTTTTAAGAACATTAACAAAGCTAAGGAAATTAAATGACTGTGCTGGAATATCTACAGTATTCTGATTCATGCAACATCTGTACTATTTTTGAAGCTTCAAGATCATTCTGCAGAACATGGATTACTAATCTGCTGGCTCTGAATTACAGTATTTGTTGTTTATCACTTTCAAAATCCTCTTTTCTGGATATGGATATAAAGAGTTAAATAAGACCTTGGATATTCCACATAACAGGAAGTCATTATATGAAACAAAAATATTGTATTTATGTTTGAGTATGTAATAGTGGTATAGCATTTTTTATCTCAGATGTGCAAATTTTAATTTATTATTAAAGCACATGCCATTATAGCTGTTCATGCTGTCCAGTATGAAATGTCTTTGTATGTTTTTCTGTCATACTTCATTAACAGAATGACATTTAAGATGACAACCCTTTTAGATAAAGAATGTAATACAAAAGAGATACTGAATTGTTTGCCTATCTTCAATTATTCATTATCCTCCATTGATGGTGATATATGTAGTACCACATAATGAGTGGTTTAATTAAGAATAATTACCCCTGTGACCCCACAATAAAAAGTCTCATGTAATGTATTAACTGTAAACATGAGCATTACAGCTTAATTCATAGCAAGACTTTGAGTGTTTTATTTTGCAAGATCTCATGCTCTGAATCCTGCTTGTGTTATCAGTTAATCTATGTTCTGCCAAGAACACCCAAACAAGATTCCTGTAATGTAAGACTAGAATCTGAAATATATTCAGCTTTTGCACTGCAAGTTAATGAATACTGTTTGATCAGAAAAAAACTAATTTCCTGAGTGTTGCTGTTCTGAGAAGTGCCTCAAAATTTTGACGATGTCAATTTTGAAATCCATTGTATATTTAAGCATTTCTTTCTTAAATTAAATTCAGATAATGTTTTATATCATTTTTATGCTTCACAACTTCAAAATTGCCAATCACTGATCAACTTGCCTTGTAGGTCCTGCACATTCTCTTAAAATCCATGAGTCATGATACTATTTCCTGTCTCACACAAAGAGCCTCACTGCCTCCACAGTAGTGTCACTTACAACACTGTCATTTCACAGTTCCAAGGCACAGGGGTTGCTGCTCCTGCAATGTCAGTGTTACGTGTGACCTGTTAAATGCTCTGTTGTATAGATGGGTGCAACTGTAACTCGCTTTGAATAAAGCCACCCGATTCACACCAGCCAAATCACTAACTACAGTTCACTCAAGGCCACCCACAGCACTAGTGTCACCCAACCAGTTGTACTCTGACATGTATCACAGCCAGGACTCAGACCACGTGTGTCTGGACAAGCTATTTCAAAAGCATTTTGAGAATATCGAGAATATCTATCAAAACAATCATAATATTTGACTGGGATCATAATGTATTCAAAGGGATGAAAGCATGATGGTTAAAAGCTGCAGAAGAAGTGTCCTGTAGTGAGTGAATCAAGAATGGGGCTCATCCAGCTCCAGTGGTCTGAATCTTGGCTACGACGATGTCCTTATCATCTCACCTTCTTTCAGTATTGTGTTTGCTCTGGACTCGTCATTGTGCTGATGTTGAGGGAAGTGTTTGCATATTTTGACTATGCCAAACAACCATGATTATGATAGTACATCAAATACAATGCTGTTGCTTGCTCATTTTAAACTTTAAGATGCTTCCAGTGTTATCATTTTTGTTTCACATTTTAGCCTTTTGTTGGCAAAGTTTATTGTAACTCCAAAAAACAGGATTTTAAGGCCTGTATATTTTTCCTCACTTTTACATAAACTGTATTAAAAAAAGTTATATTTTTTGTTAATCACATAACACGTATGTACTGTTTGCTCAACATGCATATTGAGATGTTGGTCGGAAAAGTGTATTATTGATCTACCTCAATGGAGGATTCTTTTATTTTAAGCTATAACTGAAGTATTTTATAATAACATTTTATTTATATAACTTTACAGATACATTAACATGCATTTCATTTACACTGTGATTTTAGTCCATTGTGACAGTTGATTTAAAGCTTATGGTAAACTTTATGCAATGAAAGCTGAGGTTCATTTGAAAAGTATGCAACTGTTCTTATGTTCACTTTTTATTTATTTGTTTTTATGACATGTATTCATTTTACAGCCATGGTTGAACACAAATAAATTAAACATGATCCAATACACAACATGTGCATTGATGAGTTTTCTTTAGTAATATGTCCATGATGGTAACGGTCTAAATGGCTATATATCAGTCAAGAGTAACCAAACCAAACAGAGTGGAATATTAAGTTTTACTTTTAATTATTGATTTGATATGATTACATATCCCCATGACAACCACACATTTTTTCTGAAGTAGCAACTCTGTCTTCAGGGATCTTGAAAGAATACAAAGTAAAATGCTGATTATGGTTCTCCGTTTAGAAATCCCATGTAATTTGTGGGACTTGGTTCTGACAGTTTAAGAATCGCCGAAACAAAGTTAGGGCAAAGTTAAAATGTACACACATCCACAGCTGCCTACCTTTATTATGAATGTGCCATTCATACAAAGACATGCAAAACTTTATTAAAATTTGTGTTTATTGTTTCTGCTTTTGTACAGCCATAAATGTTTCGTTAGACCTTTGTATAATAAATAATATCATTATAAAACTTAACTTCTGGATAATTCCTAAACATATCTGATAAAAGTGGATTACTGTATTCCCAGCATGCTAGTGCCACACAGGACTCTGAACAGAGGCTGACATTTTCCGATGAGCTGCTAAGAAAAGATGTTAAAGAAAATAACCACTGAACCTTAAGAAAGTCATTTGGCATTAAATGTAATTGGAATAGATCCAGAAATCACAAATTTACAGAGATTCCCATACATCTGTGTTGCTCATTTTCCGTTTTACATGGGTAGTCTGCATTTCATTTCTGTACAGAGTAATAATGCTGTCAGGTCTCTGGTTGTTAGCTGTAGTATACAATATGGTACATACACATGACAAAATGAAATTCACTTTGTCTAAAAAGAATTCAGTTTGCTTCTAGGGACCTTTATTATACAGTACACAGAAGGCAAAAATTACAGCTGAGGTAAGTCATATTTCTTCTTTGGTATTTCACTAATAACTGACTGCACATTTTAGCATAGGGTCCACACAAGCACTGGAAACGGGGGCATTCTCAGAACTGAAATTTAAATTATTGGGATCATTTTGTAAAAAAAATGTTTTGAAAGTAAAAAAAAATCAACGCTTATGGAGTACCATCACATTAAAGGAAGAAATTTAAGTGTTAAGAAATAATACAGTGTTAAAGACGGGCAGTTTGTCTTTGTGAAATCCGTGTGGGAGAGCTCTCTGTCTCTCTTTCAGTTCTCGGGACCGTACTGCAGGTCGGCCGCAGCCGTCGGCTCAGGGACCAGCTCAGGGTCCCTTCATGTTGGAGTCCTTCAGAGACTGTGGTGCCGCAATGGCTTGCAGGTTGCAGGCTGATGGGTCGCAGTAGCCGTTGGGACCAGCAGGACCGGGAGGCCCAGGAATGCCAGGCTGTCCAGGTAGCCCGGGTGGACCCCTCTCGCCATCACGCCCGTCCCGGCCGTAGCCGGGTCTCCCCGGCTCACCTGCAACCAGAAGGCTGTAAGGTGCCTACACCAGGTTTCTTGGCACAGAATACACTCTGCAAGGCGAAGAGCTGCCAACTTAATGCTGAAATAATATTGTTACTACAAAATGATCTGAGTTTCTGTTGCTGTGAAATTTATTGTAATATTCACCTAAACTTGCACTCCAATCACAACACAATAGACCTATGTTTCATGTTCTGTTCTTGAAGGAAGGTGTCATCGGTACAATATTAAACATACTGTACTAATGCACACAGGGCTTGTAGAGATAGAGATAAATATTGTGGGGAGGGAATATAAATTCTAGCCAAATAAATTCTAGCCAAACACAAATAAATGGACATGACTCTTGAGTGTGTTCAGTTACATCTGGGTCTCGGATATGTAGCACATGAAAATGCTTGAGGCTTACATTTATAGTATTTCGTACACATACAGTAAGTGCAGCCTAATCCCATTACAAAAAACAAATTACTAAAGTGTTCTCTTAAGTGTTCAAAGTGTTTCAGTATGTCTCTATCATTTTATCAATGAAAGTTGAAACGCCACATGATCAAATTGAACCCAACAGCAGCTGCACTTATTGACCTGACCTATTGAAATTGATGGAATATTGCATAGCCTGTTATCACTTTGTACTGTATGTGCACAACTTCCATAATTCCCTTCTGTCTTTGGTGACAGATTTGTGGTAGAAAAGACAGATGGTAAAATTTGAGCTGCACTCATTGGATTCAGACTGTTTTTAAGACATGCAAGTCCAGTGTATTGCTGTAGAGGTCCAACCAGTCAATGCTCCTACACCCTGTGTTTGGTCCAGAGTTACTGTCGGGTCACACAGTGTAATGGGAATTACTCACCTGGCAGGCCAGGAGGCCCAGGCAACCCTTTAGGCCCTCGTACCGTGACTCCTCTCTCTCCTTTGTCTCCCATTTCACCTGCACATGACAGATATTCATAGACAGTCTGAAATTAGCAAACATTCCATTGCCATTTGCACTAAGTGATATAACAAGCTGATTCAGTTACTTCCACACCTGTTTGTGGATACCAGTAAATGCCACCTGGTATTACCAGAGGCACCTCTGTATTACACAGGAATAATACAGTGCAATACAGGGGTAAGGATGTTCTTTACTTCACATTTAAATTGTTTTGTTATTACACTAAGCTTTACATATCCTGTCCTCTTTGTTTAGGGTGTTATTCTTACCTGTAACTCACTCTCTCAAACTGTTGCAGTAGACCATTTAGTTTCAAGTTCCCTCAACTTAGGAAAACCTTCCTCATTTGCATCTGGATTTATTTTTATATTTCCCTGAGGTGGCTTTTTGCTGTTGTAAAGTACCTTTACATCAGTTTCTCTCTAGACAGTACATCCATGTTGTACTGAATTCTATTAATACATCATTATTTTAATTTGAGATGCCTTTTAGGATACATGTTCGCATTTAGTATTTAATATCTTATTCACTGTGTCAGCTAGAGCAATTCTGAGCACTCTCAAAGTTAAGAAAATGGTGTACAAGTAATATGCTGCAAACTGAAGGCCATATGGGAGGACCCAATGCACTAATGCACTAAAAGGTTCATGGTTTTGATATCAGATTAGCACAATGCAGTAGTTCTAGTGCACTCCCTGATTGCTACTGCTGTTGCAAGGTAAGACCTCTGAGTAGAAAAAGGCAGCAGCCACCAGGAGCTAAAGCAGTGTGGAAAACCAGGACACTGCCTCTTCCAAACATGCTAACTTCCTGTATTGTATTGAATATCAGCATCACCAAAAAGGATTTTTCTCCAAATTTGTTATCTCTAAGGGGTTTCATGTGTCTAAAAGTCTGTCTGCAGTATTCCACCAGTAGTCCTAATCCCACAGGTGGACCCACTAATCAGCCTACTACCGCCTGCTGTGGAAGAAGATCCATCCTTCGCATTTGCAGCTCAGGGCTGTTTAAGATCCACCAGTGCACTGCTTGGATGCTCAGAGGTAGTTAACCTTAGCTTGTCTCAGCATTCACCTCATCTCTGTGTTTCGACTGCGGTTGCTTGACCTAAGATTCCTGGGTTTCCCTGTTCTGCTTGTTGTGTTTCCCTGACCTTGAACTAACTTGGACTTTTTGGTTTCTGCCAACGAATCTCCATTTCTCTTCAGTACTGTTGTACTTTGTCCTCAGGTTTTGACATGTTGCCTGCCTTTGGATTACAAATGCTGACCGCTTGCCCTTACTCATTTACTGTAAACCCACAGTGTGTTTTTGACCCCACTTGGAATCTTCCACTTGGAAGAGCATGATCACAGGCATTTCCAGAATGTTAAGAACAATTTTCATTTCAGGGAAAAGACCAAATACTGTATATTTATCTTATTTATCTTAAAATGACTATAGATAAATACTTATTGTTCACCTGTTTTGTCAGATATACTAGCAGCCATTTCTCAGCCCAAGCTATGAATTGTGTTTTGTTTTAGTGTGGGACAGACCCCACCCTTGGCGAGGCATATTCTAGGGATCTGTACACACAAAAACTCACAATGGCTCCAAAGGACAGAGGGCTTATTGCACAATTCTTCCAGTTTTTTCTCAAGCTTCTTCCACACACAACCCCTCCTGCAAGTTCTTTATATTCCAAACACAATGCTAGTTAAACCCATGTAAGAATGTGTTTTTCACCCAATCACCAGTAATCTAAATGACAACAGAAATAACAGTTTCCATATATGAACCTTACCTTTGGGTCCCTTGAGGCCGATGAGGCCTGGAGGCCCCTTAAGGCCTGGTAATCCTCGAGCTCCAGCTTGCCCAGGAAAGCCGCTGTCTCCAGGGGAACCAGGAGGACCAGGAGGCCCAGGCCGGCCAGGCAGGCCAGCAGCCCCAGACTCAGGCCTGCGCAGACTGGCCGCCAGCTGAGCCAGCTGCTCTGTGGCATGAAAAGGAAGAAAACAGGTGAGAACTGGACTATAAACCTTCACAACTTCACAACTGTCACTCCATTGTTAAATCAGTTATGAAAACTGATACAAATGAAGACAATAAATTGTAACCTGTAAATCTTCTTCAGTCTGTTCTGCACTGGATTTGCAAAGTTAGCATGAATCAAATGTTTTGTATAAAGGTTTATCAAATACCCACACAGTATTAATAATAATATATAATGTTAATAATAATTATTATTATAATGTAGAAATAATAGTAAAGCAGAATCTTTACTAAACTGTACCTACATTAATTATTCATACAACACTTTGCTGCTGCTGTCTGGAACACACCACAGTGTTTATGTGTTCTTTACCATTATTAATTTGATTTTTTCATTTAAATTTGCATTAAAACTTTTTACATTTGGGTGTAGTAGACTGCCTTTTTAGGCTTAACAAATCTTCTTTTAGAATTGTATTAAACTCCACATTATCCTATATATGAAAATCATGTACGTATTGTGTGTAAAATTCAAGATGCATTGAGTGTGTAATGTCTGTGAATCTCAATGCTCCTAAGAGTCCTTGTGAGTGACTTCATTGCATTTCATCAATTCAAAAAGCAGTTCAAACATCACTTATTTTGAATCAGAGTAGTACTTTTTATAATCAGAAGTGACTCCATTCCATAAATGAGATGTACATTTTACAGTTTAACTGGGTATTTGTAAATAAAGTGTGATTTTGAATTGTATACAATTGAAATGAAGAAGCCAGTCATGTTCTGCAAACAACATTCTGTAATATTTTCTACACTAAAAATACTGTAATAAATAAATGCATCACTCAGTAACAATAGTACAAAACATGCACATTCATATTTTAGCTATTCCGTTTCACACATCCAAAAAATGAGATTACTTTTATCATAGATTGACTTTTTGTATTTTAACAAACAGACTTTAAAAAGTCACAAGCAAGTCTGCGCTGTTTTTTCTTTGGCTGTTGGTTTTTTTTGTTTTGTTTTTTAGGTATCATTATACATGTTTCAAACATGAAAGTTAAATACAAGAACAGGTAAATATCAATCTGTTCTATGTACTGTTACATAAGTTAAACAAAAACATGTCTATTCCTTTTGAATGAAACATGAAGTGCATGAAACCTATGCTTATTATATGACCAGAGTGTTCAGAATGTTCTACAGAAAAACAATCCTCAAAAATGAAAGAGCTTGTTGTTGCTCCTTTTGAAGCCTGATTTGTAACAAGTACAAAACAAGTACAAAACTCCATACAGAATAGTTTATTTTCTTCAGAATAACTTTGACATGTATATTTTGTTCTTTGTTCTAATTAATTTATTTGACTAATGTAGCCATTTATGGATCATCAACTGGGGCTTTATCTCTATCTTAATCTTTATCTCAGTAGAGTACTTTGCTCAAGGCATGAAAAGCACAAACAGTCCACACAGTGTGAACTCACAACCTTCCAGTTATATACAAAAAACCCTAACCACCTTTCCACCCAAATACAAATGTTGAAACGTACGTTTTTGCTGTGCTTTGATACAGTGTTACATTAATACAGCAGGGAGTTGAATGTAAATCAAGCACTCAATCTTAATCTGACATGGTAGTGCTCTTTAGGAATTTTGCCAGGGGGAAAGAGATTGTAAAATGCTAAATGCAGCACAGCAGTTAAAGTGCTTAAATGAGTGATTTTCTAGAAACCCTTTAGATACAGAGGCTTTTTACAATATTTTGTGTATATCTAAAATAAAAAGGCCATGTCTAATCATATTTTGTACAATCAGTACAGGGAGAACCAGCATAGCACATTAAATCCTTGAGTCATGTTTCCTACACTGTACCCAATAAGAGGGGTATGATCTGTCATGCCAGGTCCTTGAAGTCCAGATCTAAAACAACCCAAATGATCTCTGGACCATCAGAACAAACATTTTAACACTGAACTTACCCTGCATCACGCGCATGCAGACTTGTCTTATATGCTGGTCACTTGGCTCTTTACCCTGGTGAAACACAAGTACTTTAGGAAGCAGATCATGGTCCATTTATGACTCGTTACAACCAGGTTATGGAAAGAAAGCTATAGAACCGCTGCAATAGTTGGTTGACCCTGGAATTCAATGTTACTTTTTAATAAATCCAAAACTGCTGAAAAAGATCTATCATTTCTAAATCCTTGTCGTCTGTCTCTTTTCCCGTTTCTATTAAAATTGTTTTACAGATGTTAGATGTCTGTTGTTTTCCATCCCAGTGACTGAGTGCGCTCTTGCTAAGTGTACTGATCATGAAGAGGAGCTGCTGTCCGCTCACACCGCGGCAGGGCCCTGTGTGGAGAGGACCTACCGCTGGCCCCTGGGACCCCGGCAGGCCAGGCACACCGCGGTCTCCCTGCATTCCCCGAGGGCCCGGAGAGCCAGGGGGGCCCTCGACTCCAGGCTGCCCTCGACTTCCTTCGGGTCCGCGATTGCCCGGTTCCCCAGGACTGCCAGTCTAAACCAGATTCAGATTTGGACACAAGTCAGCAACATGATCAGAAACACAAGAACACCGTGAAAACAAGGATAAGGTTTGTATCACAGCTACCACTCCGGGGCTCTGTGACAGTCCAGCACAGAGGCGTGAGCTTCTGGCAGGGTTTGTGAGTTTGATTTGATCTGAATCAAACATTCTGAGCACTATGGCTGACAAGAGAGGGGGATACATAATTTCTTGTGAGTACAGGGTATAATCTATTTAAGAACACTTTACAATTGAAAACATTTTTCTAAGGTTTTCTCTACAGACCAGGTAACAATATTTACCTTCTTCAGGGACAGTTCTCATGCAAAGAAGGTAGACACTCAGAAAACACATTTTCATTTGCTGTATTGGGTAGACTGAAGATTTTTCATTGTTGTTTTCCATGTTAAAACTGACCCCCATAACATATAACAATATGATATGCACTTTTGCTTAATCTCCCAGCATGATATTACAGGGAAACCAGTAAACTGGTTCTGTAAGGCACCGACCACAGCCTGGAAGACAGAGGTGACCAAGCTGTCTCACAATGACAAATGGGACTGATTCTTTGTACAATCGTCTAGCTCATTACTTGCATGAAAATGATCTACACAATCAGAAGCCACCCAAGCCACCAAGGGTCATGTTGACAGTGAAGACACTACATTTTTCTTTTAAACTGGCCAGAGGATCTGAATGGTGGGATGGAGTGCTCTCCTGTCTGATAAATGCAAATATATTGCCCTTGACAGTGGGCAGACAATGGGAGTGGACACTAGTGATTTTTCATTATTTCATTATTCGTGTCATCCAGTGCCATGGTGAAACTTTGATGATAAAGGGAAGAATATCTTTAACACAATGATTTTAGTGCAGATTAATAACTCTCCTCCTTTTCTCAAACCTTATGCTTCTTAAAAAAAACACCCCCCCCCCCATTTCAGCAAAAAAGCCCCCGTGTGGCCGAGAGGACCACCACCCGCAGGGCTGAGCTTTTACTGCCCCCCCCCCATTTCATTTATCCCTGCCTTTAAAGATTTAATTTAATAATTTGTGACATATCACAGACAATAGAACAGGTAAAGGTTTATTTCCTGCTGAAAGTGCTGAGAGACACAACATTTTCACATCTGAAGAAGGCTCCACAGCCGAAATGTTGTGTCTCTTTTCTTTTCCTTTCAGCAGGGAATAAACCTCTTTCTGTTACTTTGCAGCCTACCATGCTGATGCAGCTCCCTACTTCAATTTCTACAATATCGCTATACTGTACGTTTAAATTAACATGCTGAAATATTTCACATGTAGCATAAATTTTTACTTATAGTACTTTCATATGAAAGAAATATCTCATCTTGGGCATTTAAACAATAGACACTTTAGCGTGTAATAGACACTTATTAGTATATTTGGGAATAGTTATTTATGGTATGTACTGCATACGCTTTTTGCTTTGGCTTAATAAGAACCTAGATCAGCGCACCACCAATTTCCAGATCTACCACTAGATGTCATTATTATTACTAATAAAATCCAATCCTAAACATTTAAGATCTCACTGCGATTTACAAAATAAGGTTTAAAAAGTCCAGTAACGCATATCCATTACACTGACACTAAATTGTAATTAATTTGGTCATTCTGACATGTGGCAAGGCTTAGAAAATCTAACATGATTTTTTTATCTGTAATTTTGTTTCCATTTTCTGTAATTTTTTAAAACCATCATTTAAATTTTTAATTAAATGCATTGCCCATGAGTATCGTGTTTATTTTCTATGTTGTCATATTAAGAAATGCAATTTAAATATGCAATACATTTTTTTTTGGAAATTTCAGGAATTGGCAATTTATTTTCTGTGTGATCAGGGTACAATAATGTTAAAATACGCTACGATATATCTGGTATGATACATACACGTGGAGGCACAATTAGAAATAAGAACAGGTGTAATGTTAATATAATACCGGTAACTTGTAGCTTTTAAAGCAACATATTATGAGCAAGAAGTTGATACATTCTCTGGATTTTGACATTAATACAAGTTTACTGAATAGTTTTGTTATTTTGGTGATTATATGGTCAAATTCTTTTCAAATAAGTTCTATACTCTTAGCCTTGAAAGGAGGCATACTGTATTGTACAGGAGACACTATTTATGTATTATTAATTTAAAAAAGTTTTTAGAAAACTTACTGATCCTTTCGGTCCAGGTTCTCCTTGGTCACCCTGTAAGAATAATATTTGAAGTTTAGTTTAGTGAAGTTTGTTACCTTTGTTAACCAATCAACTGTGAGTTTTAGATTCTTGTTACCTCTTTTCCACAAAGTGACATTTTAATGTAAAAGTTTCAGCTGAAGGTTTTCAGCTTTTATTCAGACTCACTTGGTCTCCCTTCTCTCCTGGTGTGCCCTCTGCACCTGGATCTCCCTATAAAATATAGATGGAAAAAATGTTAAATACATCAGGTAGTTTATGCCCCATTTCATATACAGTCTTCCCTTGTGTGAGTAAAGTACACAATGATGAAAGAGACAACCCAGACCTATGTGTCCCCTGACCTCCCCCCCCAGAAGAGAGACAGAGATCTTACACACCTCTCTCACCACCCTCCCTGCCCACAGGTAAGCCCAGAGACAGACCTGACACCTGTCTCAACACACTCCCCGCCCACAGGTAAGCCCAGAGACAGACCTGACACCTGTCTCA